CTAGAAGAGTGGAGGTGCCATGAGGAGGAGGTGGCAGCAAAGAAGTCACAATTAGAGAAAACAGCACAAGAACATATTTGGCAGCAGCAGCRGGATTATTGCAGGAAGCTTCTGTAGTTCCAGAAGAAGCAACAGCTAGAGGAACATGGAACAGCAGATGGTCTATAGAAAGACTAATGCTTACTTTAGCAGCAGACAGCTCATCAGAATGGCTGATTTCTGGTAAAGCCATAGACAGCCTGTGCGCCTGCCTTGAAATTCCTGTGACTCTACATCCCAAACTTGCAGTACTCAGCTGCTCCTCTGCTAAATAGACATGGTAACAATAGTCTTCTCTACCACAGTCTCTGGAGCYTGAAAAAAGCCACAGTCTAGCTATGATGCAACTGTGCAAGAACAACATTCATGCTACATCTGATTGTTTTCATATCTTCTCTGAAAGCCCAACTCCCAGTTATCTACACAGTTAGAGATTCTCTTTCTAACAAATAGCTGCAGAGAAAGACTTCAACAGAAGTCCAATTACAATTTAAGAAATATTCATGTGAGACAATGTTAAATACTTGTCAGTATTACAACAGTATTTTCTTTTTATCTGTATCAATTGAAAAAGTAATTACCTAAATGGAAAGTATATAAGCAACTAATAGTTGTTGGTGATGTTTTTAAGAGGCACAAAAATGCAGACAAAAAGGAGCAATGGTTAGAGGAGGAGTGCCAGGAGCTGGCTGACATGGCAGTAGAATACCTGGAACTGCAAGGAAAAAACTACAAGAAGACAACATGTAAGTCTGAGAAGACATGAAGAAAGATGCTAYGCTAGTTCTAGAGGAAGTCAAAATACAAGCACAGCTTTTAAATTAAATCAGATATGTAGCTATTAATCAAAGAGTGAAGTTAGGTTTTTTTTCCTCAGTAATAACAATGTATCTTTACACTTAGTGCCTGCCTATACAAAAATACCTCTGTACAGGAGCTCCATCAGTGTAGTTAACACTGGAGAGCACGACTGGTATGTCAGGAGTTAAACTGCCTTCAATTCCAGTCCCAAGACACAATGCTTCTCTTTTACTATTTARCCAGTTTTCCAGTGTTTCCCCAAATTGCATTAGCAATTCACATACACCTGTATTCTCTTAATTATTTTAGTGTTTATAACATATTCCAGAAAGAAGCCCAACTGGATTTCCCCGAACACCGGAAATTATGATTACCTTTACATAATCCATCAGAGCAGTTTCCACAGCATGTTTCCAGAACTTCCTACTGCATCTCAGAACACAGGAACTAGGAGGCTGCATAGCACATAYTAAAACATTGTAAATTGTGTAACAGGCCTTCCAGGTCAAATTTGGCACCACAAAGCAGTGCCAGGGATAAGAGGSCAAGTAGTAACTGCAGTTCAGCAGCAGTTAGTACCTACCACTTGCTTTACTCTTACTGCTGTGACAGGAGGACATTAGCTCACAAGAAGGTATCAGCACAAGCCAGCATGCTCTTCCATAATCTATTCCAAACCTTGCTGACAGACAACTCCCAGGGAAGCCCTGGCTCCTGCCTGGGGCTCAGTGCTACCGAAGGTACCATATGCACAATGGCAAAATCAAACAAAGTGCCAGTGCACCAGCAATGAGCTCACCAAGTGTGTATGTRTCAAGTCAATGCACCAGCTTTCGAGCTCCAGAAGGAATTCTGTCCTGCATCCACTTTATAAACACTGCTTGGAGGAAAAGAACAAATCTGGAACCACCTCAGCAGTTCCAAGGTACATGACTAATGGAAGCTATGACTAGAACACACTGAACACGTTCCTCATCCACAGGTGTTTTCTCATGTTCACCTGTGTGAAAAGCTAGGCCTTAAAGCACTATTAAAGAGTAAATAAATGCCTGGTGCTAGAAATGAGTGATTGCAAAGAGCTTATTCAGCTGCAATCCCATTCAAGGATCCAGTCTGGCTCAAGAGAGACCTTTTGGCACAGCTGCTATCCATTCACAAATTTATTTTCATAGACTGCAACAGCACTAGTCTTTGTAGACATCCTACTGACAGAAAGTAAAAGYATCTGTGTTTGATCAGCCAGTAGAAATTAATCCAGACAGACCTCCCAAGGTGCCAGAATACAGATTTCTTTGGTCCTATCTGTGTTAAGAGACAAAACAATGAAATTAGCAGGTTACAAAAAGGTATGAAGACCTCAGTGCTGACTTCTGCCAGGACTTCKGAGGAATCCTCCAAAACAATAAATTGCAATAAACATGCTCCTGTAAGAAGAGGCTAGATTTCAGATTCAGCAATAAATTACTGARGAGAAACCGTAGCAAGGGGAAGTTCTTATCTTCCTTATAAATCAGTTTTTTTTATTGCTTCTCTAATATTTTCTAGCTAAGTGTAACACTTGTAGATTCAATTCAAATTGTAGTTSCTGCAGAGTCTCCTGTGAAGAAGASTAATGAATTTTTGCAGTCTCTAAATTGAATCTGAACTTCATTAGGTATGCATTAAGTACTTGTTCTAAAAGCAAACCAAAATCAGTTTAAACCACTTTCAGCACAATTCCTACTGATYTCTGTATAGTGCTTCAGAGCTTGATTTTCTCATTTAAGAAAATTTACCTGAAATGGYAGTAATTCAAGTGTGCATACAGAAGATGCACAGCACGGGTCAACACAAATATTTTAATACTGTATTCTCAACTATAATTTCCATTTAAATTAGGAAAAGAGAAAACCTAGTAAACAATTGTAGTGATTCTAAAATAATACAYGGGCAGTCAAAATTTGTGTCAGAATTCATGTTTTAGCATTATCTAAAGTATTAACTGAAATCCAAATCCTGCCAACACATTTATGCATTTAAATTCAAAAAACCCTAATTTTATCGAACTGGTGGTCATGCAGACATATGTAGACTTAAGAGAATACACATATCCTTTAGGCACAGGAGCTYTGAGAAAAGTTGTTAAGACTGACAGTTTTGTAAAATGCTTTTCAATAAAGCTTTTATAGATCACTATCATGAACATGAAATAGTCACAATTCAAAATAAAGTATTGGCTTCCACCTTCTATTTCATAACTCAGTGGATATGGGTTTATTCTCCCAACACTTCTTTTTTAAGCACTTAAAACCAACCTTTCTCTAATATACAAGGAARCAAAGACAGAAAAATTGCAGGAGGAAAAAAGATTTTCCTGTTTTTTGTCCAACATACAAAATCCAACCTTATTTCCAGTCATAGCCTTCAAAACTGTGTTTTAAAACTTCCACTCCAGACCACCTTATCAGAAAGAAATTCTTTGAAAAGAACTAGCTCTTAAAAATAAAAAAAAAACCAAAACCAAAAACCAAAAAACACAACAAACCAACAACAAACAAAAATGCAGGTTTTATTTCAGTCTGTAATTTCCAAGAATGAACGTTTTTGAAAAGGGTACTAGTGCATCTGTGTGGGACATGTGTCTTCTCACTTTGCACAGAGCACTCAATATTAATCTTGGAGGCAGAGGACAGTTTYCCCATCATTACTGTTCTATCACCAAAGACATGACTTTACACCAGCAGCTGTGCTAAGACTCTTTGAGGCTTTACAAKTCTGAAAAAGAGGTCAAATCAGTTTGTCACTGGTTCCACATCCACTCTATAAAGAGATATATTTTAGGACAAGGTTGCAGAACGGAAAGGGATCTTCGCATTGAGCTTCATCCTACTGAAGCTGCATTTTGTAGAAAACCCTCCTCCACAGTCTCCAGAGAACCAAATGCAGTTCTTCAGCTAGAAAGCTGATATAAATGAGCATATAAAAAGTGATTTGGAAGAGGAAAGTGAGCAGCTAGAAGCAAAGTCAGGGCAGCAACTAGAGTACTAGCATCAAACCCYAGGGATCTGGATTCAGCTCTCAGCTCCACTTTCAGCTTCCACACTCACCCCAGTGAGCTGCACCCCAGTTCCTAGTTTGCAGAAGTGATAATGGGAACTTGCCTACAAAAAAGAGCATTATAYAAATTTTTATTAAAAGATTATGTGCTAATAATCACAAGGCTGTTTTATTTCTGGTTTTCTGAAGCAAATGTATTTACTATTTAAAGAAAAGCAATAGGAGGTAAGTGTAGAGAAGCCATGTTGTTCTACGTTATGGTAGCAATCCCTCTTCCCTTAAGAAGTGAATTACATAAAATACTTTAAGAAAACCCCATATTCCAAGATTATAAACAAAAATTTTGATCTTTAAGTAATTGCTTAGTGCAACTATGTATATAAAAGTATTACTAAATCAGGATCAGGACAACCACAAACATGAAAGAAAATGAATGTCTAGCTTTACAGCAAATGCCATTAAAAAACAGTACTCAAACACTGCTATTTTTATCAAGTATGCCAGYGTTTAAAGGTGTCTAACTGAAGCTGGCATTTATACAGAACTTGATTTACCAAAGAAATCCTATTTATCTGCAAAAAWGCTGAAGCAGGGAAAGTACAACTATCTTCTCTTCACACTACTCTGCCCATCATCTCCCACCTCAGCTTTCAYATCCAGTAACAAGTTCTCAAACTGACCATTTATAACCTACAAGTAGCTGGAACACATAGACCCTCATAATGATGTCCCATGAACTGTCATGAAACTTCCATGTCATCCATCACAGATTATTTAATTGTACTGTAACATATGAAATGGAGACATTAAAAAAAAAGCCATCTTTATTTACTTTCAAATTGCATTTTCAGTTTAAATTCTGTGCATGAAGTGATGATTTGTGTAAATGTATGTGAATATACTCTAGCAAGAAACACAGCAGCTAGTAGTCTCTAAGTCACCTGCAAAACAAGCAGATCAACTATTTTACTAGGGAAAGTAGAAACAAAAATCTTTTTTTATGAGGTATATTTACAGAGCACAATTTTTCTCTGGCTTCAACTTATAATCACTGGAAAAGCATGCCCTAGTTATAACTTCTAATGGTTTTGCTCATTTCCAAACATTTGAAAAGAAAATGCAAGTTGTTTATAAAATTGTTTTTCTGGTTTATTTTGAATGAAGCTGGTACAGACAATGTCCATTCAAAACCCACGTCCCAGGCCAAAAGGTACAAACAAGAGTGTCAAAGTAACACCAGTTGGCTGCTGTGAACATTCTTGCATGGATACCTGCRTGTACTAATTGCTCTATGAGGTTAAAATGCTTCTGGGCTCTTCTGGTAAGATTTAAAAATCATTAGGGTTTCAATTTTGTCTTCAGCAAAGCCATCTCTGGAGCAAGGAATGGATGACAACAGTTCTAGCTTTTCCACTTCCAACACGGCTATCTTCTTTGTTGGGCCATCAGCACAATTTAAGCAAAATAGCTCTGAGTTATGGATACACAACTTCTCCACRGTTTAGTTCTCTGAAAAACTTCATCTCGCACTGAAAGTTATAGTCCAGGAGTGAGACAGTCACACATCAAAACTTCAGGGCAGATATGGAAGTCATTAAGAACACTCGCCCACCTGGCAGATCTTACAGCCTTCGTGCCTGAAATGCACGAACCCAGTGAACATACAAATGCATGTGAGTACATGTATTCCTAAAGGGGAGAGCAGAAGGGAAGAGGGGAGCAAGGTTGCAGCTGGATCACAGAAGTTCAGCACAATGAAAACAGAAACAATAGTGTATAATGAGCACGAGAATTCAAAATACTAGACGCTTGAAAGTAAACTCYCAGAGATGGGGTGCCAGTTTCAGTGTTGAACACCACATTACAAAAGAACTATTATTTAAAAATAAAAAAGGATTAAGGGGGAAGAAAAACAGAAGGATCTAAACTGTTGAGTGACCCCCCGTCTGTTCCTGATAAACTTCAATCACATCTTCCTCCTCCATCCCCAGCTGTGAGAACAGAGAAAAACAGCAAATTATTGTTATACATCTGGTGTGATGAAATCAGAGCAGGTCCTAGACAATTTATACAATGCTTTGTTYCTCTGTCCCATCATAATTCATCAAAGGGGTGAAAAAAGTTTCAGTCACCATCTCACTAGACAACACTCATGATTTTTAGTCCTTTTTCTTCAGACTTAGGTATGTGAGTCAAAGCAAAAGCCTTATAGCAAAAACCCACTTGTGGAGCAGACACATCACCCTGGAAGTTGCTGGCTTTACCCTTCTCCGAACCCCCTTTTTAGGGGGAACAGGGACATCCCCAACATCCTCGTGAACCCATCAGCTGTAGAGCCACGTGAATTGTATACACTATAGTGCACTTCCAGCTCACAATACAGCTTAACACCTACAGCTTGCAACTCAAAACCTGTTTACAACTATTCTCTCAGAGACAGCAACTTGCTCAATTTCACAGTCAACAAGTTWGTTTGATTTTTCAGAAGGTCACTATTATGAGTGTTTCTTCCTGCTTTTTCGTAACAATTGGTGGAAGTCACTGGACAGAAAGACTGTTTTCTGTTTGTTTACACTTTGATCTACTAAATGTGAACTAAATACATATTTATTCCAAAGTCATACTGAARTTCAAGCTTAACAACTGGAAGGTTCCCTTCGTGTTTCCCCACCCCAGTAAGCAGTGACTACACCTCTTTCATGAGGCATTGCATATGGAGGTCCAGTCTCTTTCCAAACTGCTTATCTGCCTTACTGAAAATCCTAGTCAGAYTGTATTTCTAGAAACTCACCTCCTTGGGGGTATGATTATCAGTAATTCTCTGACCCTCAAAGAGAAACCTGAGTGAATTCATTGGAACACCCTAAAAAAAGAAACAGARGTATAAGAAAAACTCAGTTTATTTAATCTTGTATGGATTTACAACATTTTAAATAAAAACAACACATGAAAGTCATAAAACAGTGYTCCCATTACACAAGGAGCTCAGCTATTCTGTTGCACTTATGAAGACTGCAAAGAAGTGACTCAAAAACCATGATAGTGCCAAGATGCGTGTGTAATCCTAGAGGCTCAGTAGAGCTCTAGCTTAATAACTTGGAAGTTTCCCTAGCTTTTTTAACATGTCTTTATTTATAAATGAAGTATTGACTATAGCCTCTATCCCAGGACATCATTACACACATATTTTTCTGAATGCATATCAGCCTTATTTAAAGATCCAAAAACAAAAGGAGGAACATGATGTTTACTTCATGAATCCTACCCTTGCTTTCCTGACCTTCTATGGCTATAGGAAGGAATTGCAACCTTTATCATTATCAATTCTGCAAATGCTCAGCACTGGAAACAAGAAAGAGCAGAGCTGAGGGGAAGAAATAGCAACAGCATTTAAACAAGGAGAAGCAAACACCCCAAAGATAAATAGAGTTAAGTTAAAGTGTGTCTGTTGCACAATGTGCCCATGTTCTGGTAGAATGTCATACTTCACATCAACAGATAAGGCAAACACCTCATCTTTCCCTTGTCTTTCAAGTTATSAGCAAAACAAACTCATGTGAAATATGACACAGTTTGTGCATCCATTAGCTCTCAAATACTGCTTGCAAATAACTAGGTAGAAAATTTTCCAGCTAAGGACAAGATTTTCACACTGTTTCAACAATCCCTCTGGCCAATGTGGAAGAAATGTTCATGGTCCCTTTATCAGAAAAAGGCTACTTGACACCAAAAACTGCATTGATTGCTGCTGAAGGAAGTCATACACCTTGCAGAATTCAGCCCAGGACATACAGGTGTATTCACTCAAACAATTATTTCTTTCTTAAAGAGAGAATSCCACACATGCATTTTCATTAGTCAGTAAGACTGCTGCATGAATTATTTCTAAGGTGTTTTTTTTTAAATTCCAAGTTTTTAAAATTAATCATAATTTTAATAATTTGGATTTGGCTACAAACATATCTGGTGTTTGATCTTTTCTTTCCTCCTACTCCAGAAAGATAGCAAAAAAGAACACATTCCATAAAAGAGCACTTCCAATGACAAGCTCAACTTGTCTCAAAGTATTAGGAAAAACGCCCCCAAAGTATTATCACTTATGATTATATCTCCTGAAGTGAACTCCAACACACTTATCCAAGAAAAGACCACACAAGGTATCTATCCCCAAAGCTGAGGGCAAACTAGGCCAGGGCTTCTGGAAATAGCAGCTGTGAATCCACAATATGTGCCACAGAATCTGGAAGTGAAGCTRTATTTCTGTTCTGTAGCAGTTGTTACTATTTACCTACACCCACAATTAATATTGTAGATTTCTTTAATTTAGGGTATAATAGCYAATGATCCTCGATTACCTTATTAATGGCTGTAGCAATGCTTAAGGCCACCTTCATGCTAAGGTGAAGTATTCTACAGCTTTTGTAGAAAGTGAATTTTGTTTGGAAACAACTATAGTTAAAGTAACTATAAGTGCATACTTTGGCATTTCAAAACAAATTCTGTGTCTTCTGAGCAGCCACTACATATTTTCAAACAGTGGTTTTAACTTACTACAAACTTCACAATGACCTTATATAGGAATACTTTTACTTGTCAAAAGAAATTAGGAGATCCATTATATTTGTACCATTAGACACCTCAAAAGTCTTTATGTGAAAGAACAGTGAAAAAAGTGGTTTGGGGTTTATTTTCTTTTTAAAGAATATCATTGTTCCACAAACCTGTCTTTGACAGTATGATTCTTTGAGTTTCTTGAGGTGTGTTGTCATTTTCACCTTGAAGTGAATTTCACTGCTGTCCTAAGAACAAAAAAGAAAAAAAAATTACTCTCCTTGTACTAACTGTYAACTTTAACTATGTTATTTTTAAGTGTTTCATAGAGAAAAATATTATACAAAACTTATGTGAAACATGAAATGTGGTTCAACCATCACCATGCATACCTTGGTGTATCATAGCATGATCCTCTAGGACGATTTATCATCACTAAATTTACTATGTACTTCCACAGGAAGCTCTTCTTCAAAAAACAGATGGCATACTATAGCCTTAGGCTCAACATGGAGGTTTTGGATTTAAAAGTAYTAAAACCCATATATTGTTCAGTCTGTGCTTCCATCTTTACCCAAGTAATCTACTTATGAAATACAAACACACATATGCAGGGGATTTCTGCTCTAAGATTCCTAAAGAGACAAGTTAAGGCTTGCACTTCAAAATATATACGAAACCTKGTTCAATTAGAGTAATTATCTAGAAGTTAGGATACAGGCAGACTTGGCAACACAACACTGACCTAAGGACAAATCTTAGGTTCCATTATTCTGTAGTCCTTCCTACCAACCGTAAGATACAAGTAGCTACAACTGTCAAAATCACTACAGATARAACAGATTGCAAGAGGTTCTGTGCAAAAGGCATGTGGGCCACTTTCAGCTTTTCAATGTGTTCTCGTAAGTGCTGATTAAAACTGCAAGAGGTAAGGTAGTTTCTGTTAGTCCTACTTTGAAGTCATCTGTTTCCACCCAAGTGCAGCAAACCATACTACTCCAACAAGCAATCAATCCTAGTCAACTCACCTCAGCTAGGGGTTCTTTGCACAAAAGGACCTCAAAATTCACATTCCAACACAGCCTGAATARAGACTTCTAATCCACCATTCATATGGCTGGTACATATACCAAGGCAGCCAACAGAATCCTTTTCCTATCCCTGAAAAAGAAAGCTGGCCTCATGCCTATGGTACTACACAAACTTTGAAGAYCTGAATTTATCAAGTTTGCCACTTATTTCATTGATACCCTTGGATAAATTAATCCCTCAGTGCATCAAAAAAAGCACACCAGAGTATACTAACACACATTACCAGCAACWGGAAGTAGTTTATGGCAGGGGAGGATCAACACCAAAGAACTTAAGTATCAACTTCCATTTGGTCATTTCTACCATGCAAAAAGTCACACCTCTACGAAATGTCAATAACCAATTATGTAAAAAACTCACCTGCCCAATGACTTTGAGTTTAATGTACTCCCCTTCTTTCTTATCTCCTAAGTCCTCAGCTGAAGGCTTTGCTTCCTGCAAGAAAAACATWAAAAAACCCTGATCAGTCCAACACTTCATTATTTTCACTGGACAGTATGGCAGCTGTCAACCTCTTTATTGCATGAAATGAGACTACTCAAGGTGTCTTCTTTCTTTCTTTCTTTGTGTGTGCACAAAAACAACAGCAACATAGTATTAAGAAAGGTTGTTTGTTTACCTGTGAAAAGTTTAATGAGAGAGAAGAAGCACTGTAAAGAAGATAAGAGATGAGAGAAGAATCTTTYGGAAATAGATGACATACAAAAACAAGAAGTATGATTTTATACCTCTAATGCCTAGACAACAAACTGCAAAAAAGAAGCACAAGGAGTGTACTAAGAGGCTCAGATATTTGAAAGGAAAAAGAACATTGTGAGGAGAGTAAACAGAACGCACTTGTGACACCCTATCAATTTAGAGAGTGAACCATGCAAACATTTTTCAATCCACTGCAAAGATAGTCCTCATTTTTGAAAGGATGGTCAGCTACCTTCTTTTCTATGACAACTAAAGAGCCTCCTCCTAACGTGTTTTAAGACCACAATACTAAAAAGTTTTAGAAGTTGCAGTTCCAAGCACTGCAGTGTTTTGATAGCTTTCCAGAATAAAAATTAAGTGTACAGAAAAGTTTGATTCAACAACTTGAGCACTAAAGCTCATCAAAAAGGCTTAAGTGTTATACACTCTAAGACATTAATTAAGGACATCAGAGTTTTYGTGTTACTGGTTGATAGATGAAACAAGTGAGAAATCAGGTACTATCAACCCCATTCCTTGCCTGCCACTACGTATCCTGAATCAGGCCTTTAGTTATGTTCCATGCAGCATAAAGGGATTTTACACAGACATTGGGTCTAGATGGTGCTCAATGAAGTTCCCAAGCAGAAATACAGATACCCTACTGATTGTGTTTCAAAACTTCTTTTATATTTTCCTGCTTAACATAGTAGACAGCCTGTGGTAGGCACCTGTACATATTTTTTTCTCCCACTGCTGAAGTTAACTTCTGGCTGAATGTACAGAAATATCCTTTGTAGGGTTGGACTTGACATTCCGGATCAAGTGCCAAAAACACATACTAACCTTCTTTATTAAGTCCATCCAGATAAGTCTCTATCCCGAGATTAAAACCTTTTTAAGGTGTCCGTCCCCTGTCCCCCCATCCCCCCCACTTAAAGAGGTTAAATACACACTTCTTTGAATGTTAGAAGTTGAGGGAAGGGCATGGGGAAAATCTGCAAACCTTTCCCATCTGTACTCAGTCTGGAGTAGTCTTGGTTTGAAGTAAAGAAAGAGAGGAAGTGTTCTTTCTATCTGTTTGACTCACGGCCTCAACCCAGATCAATCCAATTTCTACAATGGAAGAAAGTATGAGCCAGAGACTCCACCTGGTTTAAATACCTTTTTGTTTTTTTAAATACCTATCCAGGCACAACCTTAACTGCTGGGAYTGATTCATAACCCTTCAAGCTGAATACCAAAAACTGAACCCAAGCTATCAAGAAACCTGACACACTCAAGCTTTCAAGCAAGTCACCCCAGAAGCATGAAAGGAGTCATCATGGGTACCACAGTCAGATCAACTGTGTTCCATACCAAAGTTTTCCCTAACATATTTGGACTCCAAGCTCCTGGGATCACTGGAAATACGCTGGTGTTCACTCCTGACCAGAAAGGAAGAAAAACAAGYACCTGCAACTTGTTCTGATAACTTGCACAAACAGCACTTTTAACRTCTACATGCAGGAACCTCTTGAAATCAGAGCAGGATTCAGATCTCTACCGATCTGAAGTCTGTGACTTCAAAACTAGCTCCTATTTCACTATTACTGAGAGAATTTGTAGGAACACTCTGTCCCTTTGTATGACATTTCAGGTCAGTCACTATCTAAATTTACTTTACAAATTGYRTGACAGCATATTATCCCAGCAGTARAGGTGTTTGTAGTAGCTACAGAGTTCTGTGCATTGTAACAGATATACCCACTTAGGTTTCCAAACCAAGCATCCTGTACACGGTGTTACTAATTATCATTGTTACTATAACAGTGCCTCTGGCCAATATGAGTGATAAAATTATGATTCATATTTGATTCTTACCCTCAAGGAAAGAGGGCTCTAGTATTAAAAACAAATAGGAGAAGCAGCAAACAGTAGAATAAGCAGAGGGAACTGAAGTCTTCAAACTATAAAGATGGACGTTTGAAGCCCCACAAAATAAAAGGAAAGAAAGCTGTAGCTTCAGGAAAAGAGAAATAATATCAAATCAACATTGACAGTGCCAATAACAGAAGCTTAAAATAGGAGCAAAATATTTTACATCGGATACAAGACCCAGCAAGYCTGAAAACACTGTCTGCAGTTTGTCAGTTAACTATACTGCCATTCAATGCCAAATGGTAAAGGCAACAGAGACACTAAATAAAGAAAGCAAGGAGATTGCAAAGTTGTTAAAACTACAAACGTTCATTAACAAAACCTTGAATCAGCAATTTGCAAGCAAACCTCCAGACTTCTCCTCTGCCTGTGAAAAGAATGGGTAGCTCATGAAATAGAACATTAAGATCACCATTCAGAGAYCAGAAATACCATAACACTCCAATTTCTAACTTTTCATTAAAAGCCTAAGGTTTTAAAGGCTTCACTGCAGTTTTCCTAAAGAGCACAAAATAAGTGCTCCTAGCACTATCGCACATTTATATAATGACCCTAAAAAGCACACAAAGTTTCTTGGATGAAACACAGTGGTATTGCTATTGCAAATAACAAAAACAAAACACACACAAAACAAACATTGTGAGGCAACATATTGCAAGTTTACTCCCCCAATTTTCTGAAATGCTCAATGTCCAACCTTAAAACCTATACTCAGCATTTTACAGAAAAGAATCAACAAAACTAAAATTACTGAAGGAGTAGAAGTACAACATACTTCCTAAAAAAGCAAATAAACTTACATTTTTTATAGGAGTGGAAAAATGCATACAAACTATAGCATTCTTTATTAGCAGCACATGAACAGATAACATTTACATTCAAATAAAGCGAAACCAGCATAAGACACTGGAGGGGAGGGGAAAACAATCTGTGTTTTGTTTTGGTTTTTGCTTAGATACTACTAAGCAGCCATGTGGTTTTTTCAAGTCTGCCCTTCTTGCAAGCATTTTTACTTCTCATAAAAGTCAATTTCCCATTGAAAATAAAGAGAGTCAAGTATACTTTTTTTACTGTAAAGACAAGTCAAAATAATCATAACTGGTGACAAACGACACCTTCCTAATTCTAGGGCCAAAAGAACAACACTGTAAGAAATCTAAATTTTARGTAATCCAGTTATTCCTGTAGGATTGATAAACAGAGGAATGAGAYTTACAGTCCTGCACAACCTTACATTATCCTTTTATTTAAGCACCTGTTTAGTTCTTGTTGCACAGTCMCCCCAGAAGTGAATGACACAATATCTAACAATGTTTCACTTATCTATTAAAAACAAACAGCAGGATCCTTATTCACAGACCTCTAAGGTATATAGCCACAACAGGTTATCACATACATGGAATTTTTATATRCTTTCATGCAGATCCAAAGACAAAATATGTATGAGTTCTAGCAGAACTTGCCTGGAGAAGGAATTACCYAATGAAAGCTGCTATTTGTTAAAACACACCTTGGTTCACATACGCAGACAACTACAGAGCAGGTCATATGAACATATGTCTATAAAATCTAGTTCAGAATTTGCTGAGTTTTTTTTTCTTTAATGCAGTCACTTTCACGTATTTTACTAGAGGGGCAATGTGTCTTAGGGGAGGCAGCAATCGCTGTGCTGCAGCTGCCCTCTCCCCAGCACAGGCACAGACAACACCATCGTCACTGCATTGTGCTGGGGAGAAGAGCCGGGGGCGGGGAGACCACCACCGCACACAGCACTGGGTTCTTTACACCACCCATATATTCCCCAAAGCAGACACGGTATGCATTAAGCTTAGCCTTGTCTCTCGGGGCTTTTCATTTCCTGGCTAGCACTAGTACTATTCTCGACTTCACAGCACTACAAGTAACATTTGTAGGTAAAGACATTGTCGTGATCGTTACACTTTTAAAAAATCAAAGTTAGAAAACAGTGCCCTATGATGGCAACATAAAAAAATAAAGCAAAACAGAACACAAATTAAAACAGGAACGCTGCTTTTTTCACCAGCAGGTCACATAGCCTAAAACAATAGTTGTAAGCAAAGCAGAAACTGTATACACGCCAGGCCGAGCAAACCAGGAACTTGCGGTACAATAAACTATTTAAGTCCCCGGCTGAGAAGACAGAATTGACAAGGACATTAACGAGAATATTACAAGGAGCGAAGGCAGGACAGAGYCTTGATAAAGGACGGGGTGTTTAATACAAGCAAGGCTCAGCTAAGAAAGGAGGAGGAGGAGAAAACCAGTCTTTCGCATTCCTAGGRCGAACAGAGGACCTGGAAAACCTACCCTACTCCGCACAAAGCCCGCTCCGGCGGAAGAGCATCCTACCACACTCCCGACAAATGGAAAACGAAAGGAAACAACAGTTGTGCAAGACGGCTCACCCCTCGCTGCACTTCCCGGGTTTCCAGGGCCGGGGCTGCCCCGGGGGCGATCCCGCCCCGACCCCCGAGTATCCCTGCCTGGAGCCCGCCCGCGCTCTCGCCAAACACCCCGAAGGAAGAGGAAAGAGAGATTGAAATGAAGCGAGAGAAGGGCCCGAGCGTGGCCGAGGCCGGAGATCGGCATCCGCACACATTCCCCGAGGGGAACGTTTCTCCCGGCGCTCTCCGGGCGGCCCCGACTCCGCTCGCCCCGGGCCGGCGCTGCCCCGCGGAGAGTGCGGGCACAGGGGCGTAGGCAGCTCCTCCCGCGCCCCCGGGGCCACCGCGCCCGCCGTGCCGTGCCCCCGCGGCCGGGCCGGCCGCCCGTACCTGGTCAGACATGGCTCGGCCCCGTGTCGTGCGGCAGGCTCGGCTGGGCCCCTGCTGGCGCTTCGCTCCTTTCTCTGCCCGCAGCGCAAACACAGGGCCGCGGCACGGGCGGGATTTCCTGTGCGCCTGAGCTCACTTCCCGCCCGGGCTCCGCCCGCGGCCGCTCCCGCCGCTCCGCACGGCCCGGCTGCTGCTCTGGCTCTCAGCGGGGCCCGCACGGACCGGTAATCGCCGTTAAAAGAAACGCCGAACGTTAAGGGCACCCTGGCGACCGGAGCAGCTGGGGCCGGTCCAGCGCAGGCCATACAGATTATTAAGGGACTGCAGGATCTCTTCGTTATGAGGAGAGACTGCGGAGCTGGGCCTGTTCAGTCTGGAGAGGATTGAGACAGGATGTCATGAATGCATATAAATACCTCAAAGGCGGGTGCCCAGGGGCTGCTGCCAGACACTTCTCAGTGGTGCTCGGTGACTGGCGAGGAGCAATGGCCATAAACGAAACCACAATGAGTTCCAGCCCTGAGGGTGGCAGAGCACTGGAACACGCTGTCCAGGGAGGTCATGGAGTCTCGCTCTCTGCAAACATTCAAACCCCACCCGGACGCGTTCCTGGTGTCACCCTGCCCTGATAGGGGGTTCGACTCGATGGTCTCCAGAGATCTGTTCCAACTCTAACAATTCTGTGATTCTGTGAAGTCACATAACCCTTTGCGCAACAGCAAATCTTGGAGCAAAAGTCCTTGTCATTATGCCTGCCTCTAATATCTTAATAAGATTTTAACTGAAATAATATTTCACAACAAAACTCACTTTTCWTTTTAGGCACGGTTTGCACTTTTTWAAAAAGTCATCGCAATAATGCAAGCAATGGGATCTGCACGTATTAAGCAAATCTACACCCAGGCAGTTGCATTTGAACAAATTTGCAGTGATACATACAAGCACAGAACGGGTGCCCTGCTTTACATTGAGTAGCCAGGCCATTCAGAGGTCTGCCCAAGAAGGAACACCTACCTAGACATTACATTTAGGCTGCAGTCTGTTTGGACTGTAGCATTGAGTCCTGTCATCTCCTCTACAACAACTTAGGCAACTCCTGCCTGGCGTCACTTCTGGTATAGGCATAAGCTTGGCTCAAAGTGGCCAGCAAGTAAAAAAAAAACAACCCCATACATGAGAACCATAAAATAACAAGAATGTAAAATCAGTGAATCGACAGAAATTAGCTCAATTGAAATAGGCGATTATTTTCTGGTTAAACTATTTCTGTTTTTCACTTCACCACTACCTTTAAGAAAGGGCAGAGCACATTCATTAGCTCTGGGCAGAGGGCATTCATAAACACAAGCAGCTYAATGCTCTGCATGCCATGTTCCTTTGTAATAACATCAAACACCAAAGCAGCTGCAGTTTGCCTGCATTGCTGCATTTCACAGACATGCCAAGTTACAAACACAGCTACACCAAGACATGCACTATTACTAGCCAGTAGAACGATCGGTATCTAGACTTGTGGGAATTAATTCTAATCACAACTGTTAAAACAATTCAGAATTAACAAGGGAGGGAAAAAGTAAATTAAGGGAATCAAAATAAATGCTATGCAGAGCTACAGAATGAAGATGATCTTTCTTAGGCAAGGCCTAGCAGGCAGAAAAGCCAAATATGTTCATGCTGTGCCAAGCTCACAGTAAGATCTCATTATGAGCTTAATAACACACACAAAGCACCAAAATAAACCATGCAAGGGTTCCACAGCAACAGACAATACTAACAGAACGGAAAATGACAAATACTCTATCCTGAACATTAGTGCTTTTTATAAATTCAAAGGTTTTTAAAAACAGAGCCTTACAGTTACGAGGCCAAAGTCTCAGACTGGCACATAACCAATTTTTCCATGCAATCCTATAATAAAAGATAACATTCACATAAGTCAGAATGCAGTTACCTATCCACATACATAGCCATAACGTTATAGAGTGTGCTCATCAGCATACATACTAACATTAACACCACCTTTCTTGACTCCTTTCTTACTCCATCAGTTGATGCATTAGCTCTTCAAGACAAAAGCTAGATTTGTACAGGATCTGAGAAGTTAAACCTCTGCTGAGCCCATGAAACCTATGGCTGCACAACAGCAAAGCTCCCATTTTTTTGACAGCCCAAATGCAACAAAGAATGTTTTTAAAGAGAAAACAACAAAAGCTGTTTTAAAAATATCAAGTATAATAACACAACCTTCTTCCCACAAAACCCAAAATTAGCCTTGTATTTGCATGCACCATCAAGGCTACTTGCCCTAATAACCTCATTCACTTCTCAGGTATTTTTATAATGTCTCTTATTTCCCAATCTGCACTTAATCTCAGTCACCTGAAGTCAATAGAGTTGATCTCTGTTCCTTCAAATTGCTAATTTCTCCAAAGTTGCTCTCAGGAGCCAGCAGTTGTTAGAGGTCTTCTCAAAGCTATTGGCCCACACATGCACTCTGTGCAAAGCTTCTTCAGTCCATCAAAAACAGAGTTCTTAAAAAAGCAGACTTTAACCTAAAACCAATCTGTAATCTTATAATGCCAATTTGCTTTCCTGAGAGGGGTTAGTGCTAGCAAACGGATGAATGCAGTATTGTAGGGTAGCTGGGTAAGTAGCAATAGCTCTTACACAATAATAGTTCTGCCCCAGCCAGCAGGGCCAGAACCAGCACTTTAAAAATAGGTGGAACCTGGAAATTCTGTGCCCCCTTGAACCTAATTTCTTTGGCAATATTACTGGTATTGAGAGTTAACAAATTTGGTTATGTTATGTAAAGCACTGAAGTCTTTCCTTTAAAAAAATCTTCAGAATTATGCAAGTCCACAGATTTCTCTGTTGGCTTTCCAACATGCTCCTGGCATGGAGGAAACAAAGGCGTGCTGACTCATATACATAGTTGCATAAAATTCAGCAATGAACGTCTGATACAAATCAAACCCAAGCGTCGCTTGGAGCCTCTCTTCCTGCGGGCAGGAAAATCTCTGCCGCTTTTCAGTACAGATAACCCTCCCTGCGAARTAAGTGGGAATTTCTGAGGGCAAGGAGCGGCGCTTTCCGCCTGCCTCCCACCAGCAGGCAGCTGCTCGGCTCCTCAGCAGGGCCGGGGCACACAAGTAGGTCAGCCTGGCACACAGGGGCCGTGCCAAGGCACAAAGCACAAAGTGGCACAAAGCACAAAGTGGCACAAATGACCCCTCCAGGCTCTGCCTTCCCCCGGACAGAACTGCCCGAACCCCGGGGACACCACAGCAGCGTGGGGAAACAAGCGGCGTTTTAAACGCGTGTTTAATAAGAGTATCATTTTGTTCTTGTCTGTCGGAGAAGCAAAGCTTTTAAACACACACAACTGCACTTGCAGAAATTCCTTACATAAAGGAACTGATTCTTTACATAAAGGAACTGTGTGCGAGGAATTGCAGAGCAGGCCGCAGGAGCGAGAGCGGAGCGCACAGAGAACCAGCCCGCTGTGTGCTGAGGGCTGAACCACGACACCCCGGGCGGCCGGCTCGGGAAACAAAAGCCACCCGAGTCCCGGGGAACAAACCCGTTTCCTGCCTACGGTGGCTGAGCCTGCGGCACCGAGAGGAGCTGGGCAGGGCCCACTGCCCCCGAGGAGCATACCAGAAACTCGCAAGCTGCCGCGGGTTTGTGTGAATGTCTGTGTGCCTCAGGAGGCTCGACCCTGCGGCAGGGCGGGGTGGGGTGGGGTGTGGGTGGCACCGGGGGCCGGCAGTGGGGTGTGGGTGGCACCGGGGGCCGGCAGTGGCGCGGGGGCGGCCCCGCCACGTGGCTCTGGAGCGGAAGGCGGCCCCGCCGCTTCCCTTCTCCGCGGCGCGATCACCGCCCCTTCCCTTCCACCGCCGCCGCTTCCGCTTCCCCTCCGCAGCGCTCCGGTGCCGCGGCGCACGTGGCGCCCCCCGCCCGCCGCAGCGATGTTGGTGCTGTTCGAGACCGCCGCCGGCTACGCCATCTTCAAAGTGAGCCGGGGGGCTCGGGGGCGGGCGCGGTGCCTCTCGCCCCGCCGCGGCATGCGCTCGCCCGGCGGGTCGTAACGCGGGGAGCGGCCGCCGAGCTGCGGCGGAGCACGAGGGAGGGAGAAGGGGAGCGCGTCGGGCCTGCGGTGGGGATGAGGGGCAAACACGGGCGGGAGTGAGAGTGAGGGAGGGAGGCAGTGAGGGTCTCCGCATCCCGTGCGGCCCTCGCGGGGCGAGCAGGGCCGGGGCTGGGAGCACAGGGGCCGCGTTATGAGCGAGGCCTCGGGGACGGGGCTGTGGGGCTGCCGGAGGAGGCTGAAGGTGCTCGGTGGGAGAAGGAGGGAGTGCTCGGTGCCTGCCAGGCATGGCACACATCACCTGTGGCCCACATTGTCTCTCCTTTATCGGGGTGGGTTTGGTAGGAAGCTGTGCGCTCGTGGCCGTGCCCTTTTTGGCGTCTTTGGACGCACCCGGGTTTGGGAGTGTTGACCCCTTTCTGTTCCTGGCCGTACCCTCGTGGATCGCGCTCCAGCAGAGCCGCGTTGGTGCGTGAGGGGGCGCGGGGGAGCCGGGCAGCGTTCCCGGGAGTGTGCGGCTCACACTGCCCTGGCCTGGGGCGCTTCCCTACAGCGGGCCGGGCGCGGAGAATGTGAGGATCCCTGCAGGASTGCCCGTGTCTCCACCTCGCTCTCTTCCCAGAGATCTCGCAGATCTCTTCCCAGATCTTTCGCAGATCTCTTCCCAGAGCTTTGCCAGCCTCCTGACCGGGTGGTTCGGGGCTGCAGCTTCGTGGGGCTTTGAGCTTTGAGCAATCCTAAACGAGTRCTGCTGTAGTGCTGTGCTCCCTTCTGACTTTCCCCTTGGTAGGCTGTTGGTCCCTGTGTAGTTTCACCAGCTTTTTCACAGTTTGACCGTAGCATCTTTATTTTTCTTCCCTCCAGCTTAGTCTTGGGGTTTAGCTTGCGTGAACGTGAATGCTGGTGCAAAGAGAGCACCCCCTTGTCTGCAGCAAAACTGCACCCTTGCTGCTCTGTGGAGCACCATATCTTCTTCCTCTGCCCTGAAATCTTCCTTCCTCATTGGAGTGAAGCCGTGCTATTAAGGCAAGGAGGATTTCAAGATGTTGGTCTTGGGAAGAAGACAGAAGTACTTCTAAAAGTAGATTGCTTCTGTTCTGTGCCTGCCTCTCAACACCTCTGCCTGTGGAACTGATGTACATAGAGCAGTTTCCCTGAAGGTTTTGCTCACTGGATGTTCTCAAAGAATAGTATCCTGTGCTTTCAAAGTTACTAAAAATTAAAAARAAAATCTTGAGCAGGCTGAAATCTCTAGTGTGGTGAGCCAAGCCCTTTCAGCCTTTCACAGGAGCCAGGAGAGGCTGAAAATAATGAATAATTTAATTTCTGAAAGCAGAGTAGGTAGACATAATGCAAAGTTAGGAAGAGGGACATGCAGGGAGGACTGCAGAGGTGCTGGAGTGTTTGCTGCAGGGCTGGGCTGGCTGTGAGGGATACACAGTGTGGCTGGGGAGAGGTGAAAGCTGTCTGCTGGAAAAGAGTAGTTGCAGTATTTTATTAAAGTATGTATTTTGAGAGAAGCTGTGGTTTTCCATGCTGAGTCTCTTGTCAGCTGCCGAGGCTGGAAACACTGAAACCTCAGCCACAGTGCCTGTCTACAAGGAAAAGCTCAATCACACAGCATTCCTTCCCTGGACAGGGCAGCTGTTCAACTGCAGATTTGTGTCACTGTTATACTTGTACATTCTGTATTGAAATGTTCTCTGCAGAGTTTAGCTACTTTTCTTTTTTTTTTTTTTAAGCAGTCTCTGAAAATTTGACACCACTGGGGATTTGGGGTGTTTGTTTTTTAATTACTTGAAAGTTGGACAGATTTTTGTTTCTGAATTTTGGGGATGGTCATGGTCACCCACTTCCTTTTTGGCAGTGACCACAAATGTTTGTTGCCAGCATAAATGTGCTCAGTCTGCAGGCCTTGGTGGTCAAGAACTGTCTTCTGGAAGCTGTGTAGCTCTCACATGTTCCAGGTGCTGCTCCCATCAGAGGAGCAAATACTAAGGGCAARTGGGATATAGCCATGTTCTAGATCTTGGAAGACTTTCTATCTTAGTATCATTTACTTACAATAATCTTACTCTCTGGAAGGACAGATTATCTGTAGGTGTATAATTTTTATAGGCTATGAGTCTGGATTTTAGCAGTTTCKAAGTCTTTACTTTCTCTGTGTGCCCATGTCTGTTTATAGAAGCTGAAAATTCTATAGGCCTCTGTATAGGTAAGATGCACTGGAGGAAAGAATTGTCCAGCTGAGGAAAGGAAGAGTTGCCCAAAGTTTTCTTTGCCTCAGAGCCCTGTAAGAAGTTAATTACTATGTTTACTTACTCAGCTACTAATTGAGTTTTWAAAAAGACAACCTCCTTCAACCAGGGTTTAAAAATGTGCCAGGGAGCAAAATTCATAATATCACTGCACTGAGTTAAATTGCAATTGTGTTGGATTTGCATTGTGGGGACAAAACCAGAAGATTTTTGAGCGAGATATAAAGAACACAGTGTTGTAAAGATCTTGACTATTCCCCTGAGCAGTTTTCTGGGAATTTATAGTGCAATCTGCATTTTGTGAAATGTATATAAGGCTCCAAGAGTGTGTTAATCTTGTGCTGTTTAAAAGATGAGGGGATCCATGTGTACAGGATGGGATTAAGCATTGCTGTGTTTTAGATAATTCTTGGCTCAGTTGATGACTAAGCTCTTGTGACAACTCTTTACAGGGATGTTCTGTTTCTTTGGGTTAGCTCTGATCAATAAAAATAATTTGGGGGATCACTCCTTCCTGTTAGGCTTCCCAGACGTTTTATTTTTCCAAAGCAGTGGCAACTTTGGTTTTGTGTCACTGGGGTCGTGAGTGAGTTCAGAGGAGGAGGTGGAGCAAGCCCAGTTTTGATAAGTAAAAAGAGGATTATGTGCCAGGTCCAGGAGGAAACAGCCATTATTGAAGAATTTCTGTAATTCAGGTGAAAGTAAAAGCACTGCACTACCATGTGTCTATCAGTAGGGTAAAGCTGCTGAGAGAATGGTGAAACTGGAGATCACTGAAGTTGAGTTTCTTGACTCAATCAGTGTTAACTAACTGCAGAGTGGTTGGTTGCACTGTAAATGTTTCAGGTCTTGTGGATTGAAGATTGTTTGAAAGTGAACTAAATATGGTTATGTGTTGTGTTTTTTTTCTTGCAGGTTCTGAATGAGAAAAAGCTCCAAGAGGTTGACAGTCTGTGGAAAGAATTTGAAACTCCTGAAAAAGCAAACAAAATGTAAGCAGCTTTATGTGGGGATAGTAGTGTAGGTTGTGGAAGGACATGGTTGCCCATAGTTATGCACATCTGAGCCAGAATGAAGTATTGTTTTTGGTTTTCAGTATTGTAAAAGCTGTGAACAATGATAATGTGGCATTAGGTACTCTGAGACACAATGGAATATCAAATGAAAGAAATACCTTACGGTGTAATTAAGCAGCAAAAGTCACACAGGTTACCTTGTGTCACCRAAGCAAAAGACTGAGTGATATTTTAAGGTGATGTGGGTGCTTTGACAAGAACATCCAAGCTTGTAATTCTGGAAGTATCTGAAATGACAGTTTTTTGTGCTCAAAGGAAATTCTTTTGGGAAAGGTAAGTTTAATCCAGATGAAACTATGCAAATCACTGTGAATTGAGAGCTAGTGTTGTTGCCCATGCCATCAGTTAGAGTTAGCACCACTGCAGAGCTGCACAGGGATTGTAGTGTCTGCTGATCAAGCTGGCCTTTCTAGCAAATTGCCCTAAATCTGGGAACAGTGGTGAGTTCCTTCCAAGTCTGTCTAGGGTGTTTTTATTGGAAGATTTCTAACCAAATCTAATTTGATTATAATGGATGCATCTGAAGGAGCTGTGCCTTGTCATTCGTATCTGTCCTGTAAAGCTTTGTAACAGTATTTAGAGAAAAGGCTGGAATGTCCTACATCTGCCTGTTCATGGTGTGGTCAATCTTGTCTTGGAAACATCATTTTGGCTGCTTGTTACACAGGTTGTGGCTCTTAATGGGATCTCTACTCTGATAAAAATGATTCCTCTTTTACCTTTCTGTAAAGGCATCAGTGTAAGCCTGAGGCTTCTGTTGGGATCTGCAAGTGCTTAACTCAAGCATTCAGCTTTATCTGTGACCTTGCTTCCTTTGCAGATAYTTGACTCACAAAGAGCAGTGGTTAATCAGAACAGGATTAGTCAAATCCCTGTCCTTGACAAGGAATTTACTGGATTGAGATGGCTTCTTAACTGTAACTGTATATCAACTGTGTATCAACACCACGGACTGTGAGGGGAAGAGGCAAGAAGCTGTGCCTAAGGATTTGACACAGTGTGGTTAAACACTGTTCATATGATTTTTGGCTCTGGTCAGCACTTAGGGCRTGAAAGAAATTTTTGTTGTTTTAAGCTCAGCTCAGAACTTGTATTCTAACATCTAATTACAGGGGAGGACTTGAGRATTCATGGGCAATGAATCAGTTCAAATTTGAAGTCTTTGAAGATGCATTTGGTTGAAAAGCATGGTAAATCTGAGCTGTGCAGGCTCTGCATTCCACAGAGGCAGAATATTTCTTTTTGAAGAKGAGTGGGAAGATGCTATCATCAGTCAATCAGGGTGCAGTGTTGAAATTTAAATGGATGATGTCTGTCTTTAAATATGAACTACAAAGCAAAAAGGGGGGTTAGTTTTGCTGGTGGTGTTGGTCCAAGAAATACCRAATCAAAAATATTTTTTTMTTTTTTCTTTTATATAACTATTGTGGGACCCAGTTGAAAAGTCACACYAGACTCAGTTGGCCAGTTTAGTGCTCTCACACTTTTTGAGGATCTGGATACTGATCTCTGCTCTCTTGAAGCCTTAGGGAAAAGAGAGGAACTGTAGAGACAGAGGCAGAAAAAAGATAAAAAGGTTCTAGCATGTGGTTTACGTACATTCATTTACACACTTTCRTTTTATTTCTGTAGAGTAAAGCTGAAACACTTTGAAAAATTTCAGGACACAACAGAAGCACTTGCTGGTAAGTGAGTTAACATTATTTTTACCAAAAAACCAAACGTTCTTATAAAAAAGAAAATCCTATTATGCACTACTTCACTCATTACTTACCTCTCTGTGTGCTCTGTTTATTTTTTTAGCTTTTAAATTACAGTTTTTTCAAAGTGAGCTATTTTTGATGGTTTGTGAGGTCGCCTATCCAGTCTATACTGTAGTAAAGATGTAATAAAGTCTAGTTTTTTCCTTCAGTGCATGTTTCCCAAACAGCTTACAAATGAGCACCATTTAAGTTTTGACTGATAGATATAGTCTGTCTGTTGTCAATGATGGATTCTTGTTAAAGCTGAATATAACTGATTTGAGTCAACATTTCGTCACTACCACTGAGACAGCAGACAGGTATTAGAGAACAYTGATTATAACAACCACCTGGTTTTTATGGACACCTTATGTCTGTGGTTTTCAGCCTAAAGAAAGGTATATATTCACCTTAAAATCAGGAGTTTAAACAAAGTGGAAGGCCTTGTATTTGATGATTTTTRCTAATTTAAATGCTTGATGCTGTGGCCTTGTTTGAACAGGAATGATAGGAATTCTAGGTAACAATTCMGAAATGGTGTGACAATTGCTGCTGAATGTGCTGGTATGAMATTAGTAGGAGGATATTCCAGATCRCATTTRTAACTAAAGAACAGTTCTTCMWWTTGTGATGTGGTYRGGATAGCTKATAAAGGRAGCAAAGAAGCAGGAATGGAGACACTACCATCAAACACRAGATGCAAGTAAAAGAACTGAGATTGAAGCTGCTGTACCTTCTTCTCCATGGCATGTTTTTTGGATTATGTGGCTTTTGCATAGGTTTGGATTCAGTTCATGTATGGTTAGGCTGATTAAAAAAAAAAGGAACAAAAAAATCCAAAAATTTCTACTACTTTGTTTCAAGTTTACTTTTTTTTTTTCAAGTTTACTTTTATCTGTGAAACAGAGAGGTTCAGACTAYTTACATCCCTTTTATTTGGAAGGGAAGACTGTTTTAAGTGGGTTAGAAGCTATTGAACAGCTTGAAAGGTGGAAAATAATCTGCATTGTAAAATTGTTGAGAGGAAACTCARCATAGCACTTAGATTTTACTCTTASATGTCATTAAGATTSTGGAAACCAAGAATCACTGGCTTCTGCTCTTGTTACTGGGATGAAGATGTATCAATCACAGAAGTTCAGTGGAGCACAGAGCTTACTCTCAAAGAGAGTTGTATAAGTGCCTGCTTAAAATATATTGTGTGGGATTGTAAAGCTTCTACAGATCTATTAATATTTGAGAATGAAGAACATCCTTTAAAGATTCTCCTGTCTGCATGCTGTATTAAAAGGGTCTGTCTGACTGCCCAGTCAGCATGTTTGGCATCATTCCTGGGGCTTTAGATTGTACATTATCATCACCAGAGAATGCAAATAAAGCCATTACTCAATTTAGGCTATCATGATTGCTGCCTAAGGGACCTRGCAAATGGTTGGTTAATTAAATGATACACAAAATATTCCCATATAACCTTGTCTTTGGAAATGTTAAACATGTATCTGAAGCATATGGCATGCTGTTWGTAGAGATCGTTAAACAAAATTTGCAAAAATAGAACTGAAAACATATGGAGAAAGGAGAGGCATCTAGGAGAAAAGTTTTTTGATTTTGGCCTTCCAAGGAGTAAGTGTRTAATGTTCTTCTATTTTGATTTTAGGTGCTGCGTGTCCAAAGTGGTATTACAGCTCAGACTAGAGCTGCTGTGGGCAGTTAAATGCATGAAGTTAGGAGTTATATTTTTATAGGTTTTAGGAGGGGAAAAAAACTGCATTGTTGGTCTTTTTGTTTTATTCAGCATCCACAGCTCTTGTAGAAGGCAAACTCAGCAAGAACTTGAAGAAAATTCTCAAGAAGATAGTGGCAAAAGATGCCCATGAGCAGTTGGCTGTGGCAGATGCCAAACTTGGAGGTGTCATAAAGGTGATRACTGATTTTACTGTTCTTCCTTTTGTGCTACTGAATTGTTAAAGGCAGATTCCAGGGATTTTGCAGTTACTGGCAATGGATTGTGCTGCCAATGCTGTGTTTGCAGCATAGAGGATAGTTAATCCTAGTGTGTGTACAGAGAAGATGTCTTGAGTTCCCATGTGGCTGATATGGTAAGAATGACTGAGGTGTTCAGGTTGATTTGATTTCTCTCTTAAATATTAGTTAGAATCCCAGCAAGTTAAAAAATCAATTTTCCTAGTGATTTAATCAGAAAAAAGAGTGGGAGGAGGAACCAACCAAAAAGCCTGAGCCAGGCAGACTCACTTATTCCTCACCAGCAGATGCAGAGTCGTAGGGTGATGACTTATTGTTGTGTTGGGAGTAGGCACCAGGGTTCCTCAGTCTGCAGGCCAAACTGTTTCTAGTAAACTTCAGAATCTTGAATCTTAAGTTGGATGTTCTACATAGCAGGTAGAGCATTAATTACAAATTTGCTCTTCAAAGTGGAATATTAACTGTGTGGGGAACTGGGGGTGTCAATACCTKGAGCAACAGAAATGGATGAAACTTGTGATCATGGCATTGCAGTGGGAAAACCAGTTACAATGACGTAAGGCTGCCAGAAGAAGAACTTCAGAGGAATATTGTCTTGTGCCTGACTTTGGACCATTGATTTCCCCCCCTACAGGAGAAGCTGAATTTGAGTTGTATACACAGTCCAATGGTTACAGAGCTGATGAGAGGAATTCGCTCMCAGATTGAAGGGCTTATAACAGGGCTCCCTTCTCGAGAGATGGCAGCAATGTGCCTGGGTCTGGCACACAGGTGAGTTCCTACAACAGCTCTGTTTCATCCCATGTCTGCCCTRTTGCTGTGTCCCTGGCTGTGCTGTGCTGCTTGAAGTGTCTCTGAGTATGTGACATGGTCTCATACTCTSTAAGTCAAGATTCTTTTGTATCTGAAATTTTGTTTTAGAAAGGAAATGTTTTCCAGTTTGCACCCACCCTGTAGGGAAAGGCTTCATCTTCACCCAAAGATGAAGTTGGCAGCTTTCCTTTTCGTGTTATATACYTCAGGATTTCMTCTGGAATGTGTCAGGAGCAGWMAAGTGAGTCATTTAAAGCTCCATYGCCTCTAACACACAAGGTGGAGATCCTGGTTTGCTGATTTATGCCAGAATAGATACCCATATAATAGATAATGCAAATATTAAAGGCAGGGTTGTTCTTCCCACCTTGTTCTTGCTTCCATTTTGGTGTAGTGGAGTAATAGTTAAATACAAAGTTGTTGGATCACAATGGGATCAGGCATCCATTAGCGAGTAACTTTTTAATCTATATTCTGACATGAGCTTGTTCTGTCACAAGCCATTTACAAGTTAGAGAAGTGCTTTGCCATACCTAATTCTTTAAAAATACGTGTTTGCTTAGAAAATGTGCATTAATATTGAAAAGACTTTTAAGATGCAAATCCTCATTGATACCAAGTGTCTTTCACTGTAGCTACAGAGAAATTCTAAATATTCATTAAAGCCGGATGGTAATGGGCTTTCTGAGACAGTGAGAATCTGTTCCAGGAAGTTTCTTTTGTTGCTTCACATTAGTGTTGCTGGTATTTGCTGCTGGGGAGATGCAGTTTGGTGGATTGCCTCCAGCTGCTGCTCAACTGGAGGTGCTCTTGGCAAATGCTTTTTGTGGGGAACCATGCAGAAAAACCAACCAAGGGCCAATTTCCTGCCACAGCACTTGAGTTCAGTCTGCTGCAGGTGRTACCAATAGCCTTACCTTTCCCTTTCACCCTGCTCACAGGGTATGTGAGTGGACACTTGTCAGAGCTGTTGTGAAGCTTGTGTCAGTGTGGCTTCTGGCCATAGCTGAGAGCAGTCAGTCACACAGATCTGAGCTTGGTTTGAATCAACCTGTGGACAACTGTATTTATTTTAAAAAGGAACAGGAGGRGCATGTTCTGCAACAGGATGTCAGGATTCTGATGAAACTGTATTTCTGTCTCCTCAGCCTTTCCCGATACAAGTTGAAATTCAGCCCAGACAAAGTAGATACCATGATTATCCAGGCAATTTGTAAGTATATTGAGAGCTTAAATTATTAATGGATTTGGCTTAGGATAGCTGACTTCTTTACATTGGTTACARAAAAATATTGATGTCAATTTCCTTCTAGGCTGTCTTCATAAATTGGGCACTGATGCTCAGCTAGGCATAAAGCATGTCTTCTTAATAATGTTTTCCACAAGCAGGAACATTTTTAGGGTGATACAATAAACTGGYGTGCACTTTTTCTTAGCATAGAAATCAGTTGAATTATAGGCAGTGTTCAATCCTCTAAGGGCTTTCCTTCCCAACATGCTTCCCTTCTGAGTAGTGCAGGGAGAGTGGGCCCCACAGGACAGCATTTTCTGGCCCATGGTTTAGGTGGTATTTTGTGTAGTGGACAATGTAGAAATAGACTCTTGCATTAGGCATGTCCAACGCATTGCAGTGCATAACACTGCATTTTGTCTCCTTGCTTTCTAAATGGAAAACAGACTGAAATTGTTAAAGCAGTTGGGAAAGCCCATTCCTCATTTTTCCTTGAAGACATACACRTCGTAATCTGCACGCTTGCTGTGAAGCAGTGGTGACAAATCCTCTTTGGAATACTAATTCCCAGACTGTTGCCAATGATGAAACGTAGTTAAACTGAAATTAATGATGTAATTCAGTTCCTTCGTCACTACCACTGAGACAACAGATGGGAATGTTGGTATTGCATTAGCAGGAAATATTTTAGCCTCAGGGCAATAGCACTAGTAATRTATGCTGTAGATGCTCTACTCTGGTAAATTATAGATCTGGTTATTGGTCATATCTGATAAATGGTGAGCCTGTTGGCTTTGTATTTGGTATGTTTATATTATAACAGCAACTAAAAGGTTTGATCTTTCAAATCAAGTAATGGAATACAAGATCAGTCTGTTACCATTAAAACATTTTTTCCTGAAAGTTATCTGGATAACTGCATTTTACATCAACCTTGTATGTAGCACTTTGGCTGACTGACAGGAAGGATAACTGGCTGCTGCTTCACTTCAAAGGGAATGTGCTTTGCAGCTGTTACAAAGTCTGTCCAAGACAGTCCCAGTGATAAAACTTTGAGGCCACACTCATGGGAATCCTAACATTCCCATAGTATTGTGCCTGCTATTATGAAGTTTTCTGAAAAGTAAAGATTTCTAGTGTACTGCAGTSTGGTTTATACCAGTATTTATAGAGTGGAATACTTCAGTTAATATATCTTTACACTATTTAACTTTTTTGGTTAGAGAGTACCACATTTTTAGGTTACCATTTTAGAAAAAGAAATCCGTTCTTCTTTCTTTTAGCTCTTCTGGATGACTTGGACAAAGAACTGAATAACTACATCATGCGCTGTCGGGARTGGTATGGTTGGCACTTCCCTGAACTGGGCAAAATCATCACAGATAACCTGGCATACTGTAAATGTGTGAGGAAAGTTGGTGAGTAGTGAGGACAGCCAARCCTGCAGCGTGGGGCATGGAGTGGGCATGGCATGAGTGGCACTGCTGTGGAGACCCACTCACTGCAGCTGGTCTTGACCCCGTAGCAATGGTAGGGTAAATAGGGCCAGGTGATCAAGAGGCTATGTTTGTATCTGGATGTTGATGTCATTTGCCATTTGGAAGCTGAAGTGAAAGTTAATGCCATGTCACCAACCAGTTCTTCATGGATCACCAGCACATCTACTTAAAATCACTGTTAGTCAGCAGACCAGTTTGAAAAAATGATGTAAAGAAAAGTGTTTCCTTTTTCTGAAAGTTCCTGGAGACAGAAGCTGATAGAATTACTCATAAGAGCAGAAAGAATGACTGCTGTATCTTGGACAACACCTCACCTCTTGGGGTCATGTGCTCGGTACTGATTTTTTTTTTTTTTTTTTTTTTATTTTCTCTTGGTTTTTTGTGGGGATTTTTTTTTGTTTGGTTGTCTGTTTTTTTTTTTTTTTTTTTTTTTGGTTGGTTGGTTGTTTGGTTTTTCTTTTGTAATAATGGAGTCTGCAGTCCGGAGGAAGACTTGTAGACTTGTGGTTTTAAGGGAGCTTTTTTTCTTCCCCCAATTGCAGAAACAATTAAATAGGTTTGGTTAGCGGTGACTGCGTGCTTCCTGGAATTCTTTTCTTATAATATTGTGACTGAAAATTTTGCAGCTACTGAAAAAGTGAAGCATGCAGTGTTACAGAGTATGGGTTTTCTGGGTTTTTTTTCTAGTTTCAGTTTTAATATTTCCACCCATTCCTAACTGGTTTAAAGTCAGAACACTGACATATATTTTAGGAATTCAGAATAGTGTGATGACAGACTTGACTCACTGTTTTTATTTTGGCCTTTTATCTTCATCTGTTTCTGTGCTTTTTTTATTAGTTCATCTCGCCCCCAGTACAAACAAGCTTTCATCTGTCCCTTACAGGAGACAGAAGCAATTTTGCTTCCTCTGATGTTTCTGACATCCTACCAGAGGAGATTGAGGAGGATGTGAAAGCTGCTGCTGAGATYTCCATGGGGACAGAAGTATCAGAAGAAGACATAAACAACATAATCCATCTCTGTGATCAGGTATGTACACAGGGATGGATARGAGTAGACTTTAGAGACTACTTTAGCCATTTCAGAACCGCTTCTACCAAGGAAAGCTTTTTCCCAGGGCAATGCTTACACTCTTGTGATGGCAGTGATGATTCCTAGATGGTTGCTTTCCTGATGTTTAGACATGAGGGTGCACAGTCACTACCTCATCTGAGCCATCTCAGGCTGTTGATATCTACAAAAGGCTTTCTGCAAGTGGCAGTCTTACCTTTGGGAGGAATTTTGCTATCCTTGGGCTTCTAAGTGTTTGAGATAATGGCATTGTATAGGCTCTTTTTAATCTGTCACGGTGGAAGCTGGGTGATAACCCCTGAGTTAAAAATGGAGCACTGAAACTCCAAAAGAATTAGGAGTCCTATCCTGCTCTTGTCTGGATTGGGTGTGGACAAACACCCTGTGCCAGTTGGATCTCTTTACCAGGGAGAGGCAGGGTTAGGAGTTTTTGGTCTAGACCAGGCTCCGCTTTTATGTTCATTCTAATTATGTGTATTTGTATGGAACAARTAAAGAGCATATATCCCATTACAAGAGAATGATGGCGAAGATTTATGTGAAAACTGAATGTTCCAGGGTTTTGTCCTAAAAAAAATGTCMTTACTAAGTATTTTTGTTCTGCTTCACTGTCTTTGGCATGTTGTCAGCTCCTTTATCAGGAGTTTTGCTGAGAAGATAAATTGCATGAGGGAATAAGCAGTACAGATYCTATATACTTTGTGGCTGGAGTTCTGCTCTGGGAATATGCCCTATATAAAGCTTCCTGCAGTTCTGGCTCTTGGCTTGTTAGCATTTTGCAATTTGTTAGTCTCCTACATTGTAAAACTCAGCGCTTCCTCATGTCACTATATTTCTCTCCTACTATTTTTGGTCAGCTAATACTGACTCCTGTGACCAAACTGTCTGTGCCAGGTGATTGAAATCTCCGAGTATCGGACACAACTCTATGACTACCTGAAGAACAGAATGATGGCCATCGCTCCTAATCTCACTGTCATGGTGGGAGAACTGGTGGGAGCAAGACTCATTGCTCATGCAGGTGGGTTACAGTCACCAATGTGAATAAATTTTAGATGACCTCATCAGAGGTTTTCTCCAAGGAGCTGGTCAGCTGAAAGCATTATGTAAACATCTCATGGTAAATGGGGCAAAGGCAGCACTTTAGGAATMGTGAGAGTACCAGCATGAGCTTGGTGGTAGTCTGTGATGACAAAGTTCTCAGTTGGCCTGAATTCTTTTTGGAGTGTGAGGGCAACTTAAGTCACTACCTCTTCTGAGACACTTACCGAGCCTCCTGCTGATAGTTCGGTCACTTCTAAGGTAAAAATCCAACATTAGGCATTTATAACCAGACTGGCTCAAGGTAGTAGCCTTATTTCACTTTATTTGTGCTGCTGTTCTGTGATGACATGTTCTTGCTGTCAGACTGTCAGGAGTAGGCATTATTCCACTGGAATGTGTTTCATTGAGTCAGCCTTCCTTCCTGATGCTGTAATCAAACCAAGACAGTTGAGGCATGAAAGACTGAAATGGTTTACCTGKCCTTCAGGAAACAAAAGTGAAACCCTGCTCATGAAAATAGATGGCTCTGAGCTGCTTATGCTATTCAAAAGCAGGAATCTAACCTAGCTGCTTCTTTTACTACTGCTGTGTCACCTCATTCTAGGTTCCCTCTTGAATTTGGCAAAACATCCAGCTTCAACGGTTCAGTTRCTGGGTGCTGAGAAGGCGCTCTTCAGAGCACTGAAGACTAAAAGGGACACACCTAAGTTTGGCCTTATCTATCATGCCTCCCTGGTGGGACAAAGCAATACCAAAAATAAAGGAAAGGTAAGATGTAGAGTTCTTTATAAGCTTGTTTTTTTTCCAGAGCATTAATATCTTGGGCTTCATGATGACTTCAGCTTCACAGTTAGGCTCTTTCCATGGCTTGCTTTACTGTATTGTTTTGTGATTATGTGGAAAATACCACTGTCTCACAAATCTTTGAGTATCCTTCATTTCTGTGAATGGGATTGTCCATTTGACATCTGAGCAATAACAGATGGATTCCTGCTGAGTTAGGATGTAACACAGGCTTTCTCAAGGGGTGTGTTAGTACTTTTAAGTGGTAGTAAATTTAGGTGTTGCAAGTTTTAGTCTTGCTTKGAAATTGGACTCTTTTTTATGCTAAAGTAATTTACAGCTTGATCTTAAAGCTGAGTCTTTCCTAATGCAGATGGATGAATATGTGTTAGAATTGTGGAKAAAGCTGGAAATTACATTTCAAACTAACCTGATCTAAAAGTTGGGGAAGATTAGGAAATGTGTAACTGACCTACTGTCTCAAACRTTTCCCTTTATTTATCAAGGAAATAAGGTGTTACATTAACAGTGTTTCACTGTTGAATGAATGATATACTAATTATATTTTTGACTAAACGCTCTATTAAATGGTTACTTTGTTCTTTTGTGTGTGGGTATGGTTTCCAGATTAGAGTGAATCATTGCCTTATGTTAAGTCTTAGCATTTAATATTATTTTTGTCTTTTCCAGATTTCTCGAATGCTGGCAGCAAAGACTGCCTTGACTATTCGTTATGATGCCCTTGGAGAGAACACCAGTGCTGAAATGGGAGCTGARAACAGACTAAAAGTAGAGACGAGACTCAGGCTTTTGGAAGAGAGAGGGGTAAGTCTTACAGAGAGCTGCATGAAGCTGACATTCTTGCTCAGGGTATGGTTTTCTGACACACTGCTTTTTGACACTTCTCCCTCAGGTGTGTGTCTCCCTTACCCTGTAGTTTCTCCCAGCTTTGGCTGGAGTGGCCACGTGTGTGAGTTGGCTGCAGGCATTTGTKTGTCAGCTGTTCTTTGACAGTAAAYKAGATGAATAAGATCTTACCTTTACATTCCCTACATCTCTACGAATTGCAAAGATAGCCTCATTTCTTCATAGCTTCTTTCTATCTACCTTAGAAGGTATATTGGTGCTTTCTCCCCGTCTTTACTTCCCCAGAATCCAAACACTGGTGGTGATTAGTCTTACAGAGCTTTCTCTGTAGCTAAAGCAAGATGTTATTCTGAAAATTGCTGCATTTCCCTCCCACCACCTAATGCAYATCCTGCCTCTCCACACCCTCTGTGCCATGCTGCCACACATCAGCATGGTGTGCTGGGAGAGTGTAGGGTCCCTTTCCTCTTTTAGGTGGCATGGCTGCTGCATGTGACCTTGTGAATGACCACAAGGTTCAGCCTTCCAGGCTGGAAGATCTGATACCAATGCTCTAGTACTGGCATCACTAGAACAGAAAAGAAAAATCCAGAAAAACCTGCCCACTTTCTTCACAGGAGGTGAAACTTCCCATCGGAACAAAGGCAAGGAGACATATKAACACCAAAAGACAAACCAAGCACCTGACAAGTACACATTTAATTTAGTTYAGGGCCTGTGTTGTGGTTTTAAGGGTGGCTTTATGCCAGCCATAGTGTGATACCTGCTCTGACATGCACTTATTCTTGCAAAAAGAAAAAAAGTGCACTAATTTGAGCTGCTTTTGGGAATTTGGAGGTACAATGTTAGGTCAGTGTGTCTGTGGTGTATTGGATCCAGTACTAGATGCCCTTTACTTGAATTGGACTCTTAAAGAGCAGCATTAGGAAGGCCATTCTCAGCTACACTCCCTGCCACTACTCTACACTCAAATGTAAAACTGGTGCAGATACACAAGAGCCTGACCCGCAATAAATGTCTGTCTTTCCATCTTTAATTCCTTTCAAGAGCTGTAGACCTTGTGTTGTGAATTGTTTTCGTTATGAGTAATTTGTTTTTCATGTCTAAATTTTTCTTGTAGATAAGAAGAATAAGTGGCACTGGAAAAGCCTTGGCCAAGACAGACAAGTATCAGAACAAGAGGTGAATAGTTTTTCCTTTCAGCTTGGCTGAGTAAATACAACTCTCCATGTTTTTATTTCTGAAAAGCTTTTTGGTTGTGGGCTTATTTGACTTAAGATCCAGAAAACATTTTCTGTGGTTTTTAAACATTGATGATAAGAATTTCCTTTTCCCAGATTTTCTAGTAGTGAATTACTGRCATCATCAGATAGCAAGTGCTTAAGGTACTACCAGCAGCATCCCAAAAAGCTGGGTGTTAACATACAGCAGCTTTCTGTTATATTAGCAGAGTCAGCTATATGATTCTGAATGAAATAAATTGGAGAAAATCAGATTATGAATTAATTTCTTTGACATMTCTAGGAAACTGTCCTAGAGATGTACTTAGCCATCTTATTCTTAAAAAMTGGGAAAAAAACAGGCACCACAGGTTTTGAGCAAAGCTTCATCTCCTTGTTTAAGTCTTGTATGTCATAAGTAACATGTCTTAAGCAATAGATAAGGTCTGTGAGGACTCTGGACACTGTTAGAAGAGTTTCTGGTGCCARAAGTGACACTGTAAATTGCAACTGGGACAGCTGAACATCTGAGGATTTGAACAGGGTATTATTAGTCTGTGCTGTGACATCTGGGTTTATTGCTTAATTTGGTTGCAGGYTTCTTGCTTAGCTTGGCCTGCTTATTTTGCTGAGCCTTTGGCATAGAGAGGGCAAGAGCTCAGCAAAATCAGGGCTCAGTGCTCATTCTGTGAGATAAAAAATAGCACTGTTGCACCCRTCTGCAGCCCCCAAACATCTTTCTGGAGCCTAGCTGTAACTTTAGTTTCCATATGCCAGGCATTTCCAAGTGTAGTGTTGGCTGTGATTTCTGGAGCAGCTTTTGCAGACTGTAGATGAAGCGTCAGGATGTGTCAGGAGGCAGGAGCTGAGGGAGGAGGGTGTTGGAGAGACAACATAGATGCTGGGGTTTGATCTCTTGAAATGAGGAATCATGAACTCCTGCCAGGACATGTTTCTGCTGTTAGACATGCTTTGCAAACATGTCTAGRTTTGGGGAGAATCTGAAGATAGTTCCTGGTTATTTGGCATAATCTGGCTGCCTAAAAGGGAAACTAACYCAGTACTTGTCAAATTGTCCTTGTAATATAAAAATGGCAGTACTGGCTGTATGGGGTTGTTAGGCTAGTGTTCTAATGAGATTGGCAAAAATCTTAGTCTTGTATGGAACTATGGAGTCTGTATGAAATTAGCTAAATCAGATTAACAGAAGTTAAATGCGAGGTAGTTTTTAGAGAGGAGGTTCAAGTGAAGCATTTCTGTATGCTTTCCAAAAAAGATGCAAGAGGTACTATATTTGTCTTATTTATGGTTTTGTGGGGTTGATTTCGGGTTTTTTGTTTTGTTTTTAATTAGCASTAGTGTTATGACAATGACAAGGAAGCCAGTGAGCTGTCACTTGGGTTTAACTGAAGCAGAGTCCACTGTTTGCAAAAGGCTGCGTAATCAGTTTCTGCAAACCCATATGTAGTGTTAATACCCATAAGAATAATTTCCCATGCTTRGAGGATGAGTTGATGGTACTGTCYRCTGGCATTACCACATGCTTCCCAGTCCAGTCACTTAGTCCCAGTTGCTTTTATAACCTGTGCAAGGTAGCTACATCAGACTCCTCTTCTAGAAAAATTCAGATGCTCATTATGTGACTGGGGAGGAAATATTTTAGACTTTGTTTTAAAATTCCCTTTTTCTTCAGTAGAAATTCTGTTCTGAATAAGAAAAAAAAATGGCTTCATTACTATTTTATGGTTGAGTGACTCCTTACAAGTTCCARTTAAAGAGCAGTGATTTCAGGGTGGCTGTTTCTCTACAGCCTGTAGAGGACTTTGGGACTGAACAAACGAGCATGCAATAACTGAGAAGAGGCAGTTTCAGACACAGATTAGAGYTTTGAATGTCTCATAAAGTCAGTGGGTTCAGTCAGGTGGTACAGCCATGAGCCATAACATTACACTGCCTTGTCTGAGAGTTTGCCCTCTTAATGTAAWGGTGGAGAGGCAGTGTAGAAAAAGCAAAAGTAAAGCTACTTCTAATGCTCTCTGTGTGTGTGTATATAGAAATATGTATTATTACCTCTAAAGTACAATTATAGGGTAATATACCAAATACAATTCAATAATATACCAAATGGTGGGGAGCTGAGTGCTTGTGACCATATGGCTATGCTGGATAGGCTTTCAGTATCAGAGACATCAATTTAATGGGTAATTAAAGTGCTCTGTAGAGCCTTGAACAGGTATAAACCAGGATCAAGCTCTTAGTTTACTGGTATCTTTTTTTTCAGATCAGACAGCTTGGGGTAGGGTATCTCTTCCATAGCTGTGATTATTGATAAACCAGCTGTGGATTGAAGGAAGGGCCTCACTACCTGGAGATGTTTTGTTAGCTGAGCAAGACTGATTTTCAGGTATTCTTGGTAGGTTTTGTTGGAAAGTTTGTGTTCAACTGCAGGATGTTACCCGAAGGTTTGCTCTTCTTGATACTTAAACTGACTTTTTTCTTCATAACAGCGAAGTAAAAGTATTTGACCCATCTGGTGACTCTACACTTCCCGTTGTTTCCAAGAAGCGCAAAATTCAGGAGGTGGATGAACAAGACACAGAGGTTGCAGTGAAAGCAAAGAAGTTCAAAGCAGAGATGAAAGGTTGGTTGCTGTACCTGTGCTGCTGGCATGTTGCTGTTTGCATCATGCAATGGGGCTTACATTTACAGCCCGCCACAGTAGCTGGGTATTCTCCTTGGGTATGACAGCATATTTAAAAAAGGTGATGATTCTTTATGGACTGACACCAGACTGCAGTCAATTTACCAACATTTGGAAACATAAAAGAACATCTAAAAACAAAACTWATTTTCTGCAGAATTTCTTGCTCAGCAGGTTTGTATTTAGTATATGGAAGACAGAAAAGCAGCTCTGTAAAACCAGAAGTTGCCCTATTTTCTTTCAAAAATACTGTTTTATTCTGTCTAGAAATGTGTTCTGGCATGTTTCAACATATAAAAAGGTCAGAATTTGACATGAAATGACACTTGGAAATTTCCGTCTGAGTTTACGTAATACAATGAACAATTGTTATTCTCTGGGGGGCTAAAATTCAACTATGGCCACAGTTGTTCTTTCYTTCTCTGATAAGTTACTGTGTGAAGAAAGATTTTGAACTGCAACTTCAAAATAATCTAGTTTAACATTGTGGTTCATTTTAAGAAACATTCTGTTTTCACCAGTGTGTRACTTGGGAGGGGAAAATAAGGGAAAAAGAAGATGGCTTAAAGCCACTTCTGTGATACACAGAGCCAGATCTGGACACGAACCTCTCACAAGGTTTGCCAGCTACCCATGCCTGCAGCAGGTGAGGGCTGTCAGAGCCTTCTCTTTCTGCCTTTYCTGCTGCTCTGTTCTAGAGGATGAGAGTGTAGATATTCTGGTTCAATACTTCTTCATGCTCAGGTGGTGCTGAGCTGTGGTCWGTCCAGACACCACTTAGTTCATGGTGTCTGTGTACATGGCTGGAGCAACTCGCAGGAACCTGAATACAGCTGRGAATTAAAGTTGCTTTGGAAGGAGAATCCTTTGTGCTGTGAAAGATGTGTTCCCCAGCTTGTTCTCTTATACTCACCATAATGGGAAAAGGACATGAGCACTTTAGAGGCTTCAACTTTGCCCATTTGCTCTTGGAGAATGCAGATATTCTCACAGCTTTTGATTATCTTTTGAACKAAGTTCATTTGCTGTAGCCAGAATTGTCCCCTTGGGCTTCCCTTGCATTATCAAAGCAAGTGTTGATGTCTCTCAGCCTACACTTCCATAGTTTAAGAAGGATATTTCTGTTCACAGTTACTTTATTCAATGGTTTGTGCTTTTATACACAAACCTCCTTGTGTTTGCTTCATTTGCTTTATTGAGCAGAGGTAGAGGGATTTCTCTGACACCTGCTAGACAGACCATAACCTTGCTGTTTTCCAGTCTGATTTCTGTGATTGCCCAATGTGYTAGAGAGGGCTTGGTGATCCTAGAAGGTTGAGTAGTTCAGCAAGTCCCAAATACACAGAAGAGTGAAGAGGAGGTCCCAGCATTATGATTTATGTTGTATGTCCACTTGAAGATGCATATGAGCCTTTATTGTCAGCTTTTCTTGGCTCTATTCTTTTTTGATGCAGTGCTSTATTCAGCTTTTGCCTGGTCAGAGATTGCACATCCAGACAGTGTGTTGTGAAAGAAATCTCTGCCCCCTCCTTCCCCATGCTGTTTGTGCAGCTGCATGATAAATGGGGTTGGTGGAAAAGTAGTCCCAGAAAAAAAAAGCATTCTTCAGCCAGAATTTTCATTTGGTTTGTATTTCAAGAAGAAGGTGAAGGACAGGAAGAAGCTGGGAAGCTGCCACTGAAATGTGTTAGTCAAATTATTGCTTTTAATATTTGTTGTAAAGGGGGACAGTATTTTGCATTATGCTAGCCCAAAGTGTAAATGTTACTGCAAGATGAGATGTGTGGTGTTTTCTCTCTCCCTTTTTGGGACRCACCAATGGCAGTACTTTGGTGGGAACTGGCAGGTGGTTGGGGATTGAGATATGACTTCAAACCATGTTCAGCTTTTATMCCTGTCAAGAAACCAAGTGGAAGGGTAGTGCCTGAAACAAGATATAATCCACTTAAGGAGCTGTCTGCTAAAACCTGTTTTCATGTTGGTGAAGGGAAATAGGGCAGATGTTTTTGTGACTGTGGTCTCTGAAGTTGGATGTGGCCAGACAATGCGTGCTACCAGCAGGACTAACCAGAGCCCCCAGGAAAGCCATCAGCTTGCATTTAGCATCAGGGTATAGCAGCAATTAGTGACTTGGGAAGGTATTTCTTGAAAAGAGAAATACCTTAAATTATGGAGTTAATGGAGTGAACCCTTGCAAGATACAAAGCCCTAAATGATAGCAAAGCTTGACAGGATGTCTTTAGTGATAGGCAGTGCGACTTCATTCTGTACATGTGGARCATGATCTGGAGGAGGGAGGGTGCATCAGGACATCAGGCTTGTGTGTAAAAGCTTAGACAAAAATGGTGGAAAACGGGTGAGTGGAACTACTGCTGSTGTTCTTCAGCACTCACAGGGCTGTCAGTCAAACTGCTCTTCAGAGTGCTGCTTTCTGTGCCAGATAGTCAAAGCTATTGGTTTCCTTGTCAGCTGCTGTGTAGCACAAAGAAACCCCACTGGCCTTGATTGACTTAGAAGTACTGCACCTAGAGGAAAAAAGCCAGCACCCCTGGAGCCCTTATCCTCATTCTGGCTGGGTACAAATATGTGAAATCTTGTGATGAGCTTTGCTGGAAGGCAGCTGAAATCTTCAGGGAGGACTCTGCTGCTTGCTGAGAGAAGTGACAGTGCTTGTGAGTGCCCCGTGCATCATCTGCACTGTAAATTGTGACAGGTTCCACTGCCTGGTGTGTCAGACTTGATGACATGTAGGGTAATAACAAGAAATTCTATTTTCAAGGTTACCGCCCATCATTTTTCTTGGACATGCCTATYTTACCAATCCAGCTGAGTGAAAGCATAGCAAACTATGCTAGCATGCCTCTGTTATACTGTATGGCTTTCATGTAATTTATKCTTATTTTTCAGCTACATTTTATTCCCCCATGTCATACCTAGGGAGATGAGGATGCCTATTTTTATACCTGTTTGAATGCCTTATGCTTGCACACTTTTCTCTGAATTTTSTGTATGGCAGAATCCACTCAAAGTTTTATTTACCATTTTTAAAATCTGGAATATTTTGCTGTTTTGCTTCTGGTATGTTTTTTAATGTCAGAAAACTGTATGTGATAGCTGGCTGTATTCTTCTGTAGACATGTCTAGAAATTTTTTGCCCTGAAGCCAACTTTTTTTGTCTGAAGCTAATGTTGGAGGCAAAGTTTGTATTTTTGACTCCTGGCTTGAGGAGCTAAACTTGTGATGAAGAGGTACAATCAAGGTGTTAGTAGGTTATGTGGTTTGGGTCTTTTTTTGAAATTGAACTTGTTCCTTTTATAAGTGGTTGAGTGAGTGTTCTTGAAAATTGAAATGGATTCTTTCCTTGGGGTACATATGGTAAGAAAATGACATCTTGAGTCATAACTTCAGTAGCAATTGTACATACCACAAACACCACTGGTTTCAGCATCAATTTTGTAGCTACTGAAGGATAGTGGTTGCTACGTCATGAATTTAGTCATGAGTACTCTGTGAAACTTGGTATCCAGCACTGACTCAGCTGTGCAAGTRAATTTAGGTTGGGTCTCCTCCAGTAATAGCCTGGCTTCTGCATAGGCTGTCAGCTYGGTAATGATTTCTGCTTGGTTTCTTTACTTAGGTATTCCTAAGACTGTGAGATGTRTTCTAGGAGTGAGTGGTAAATCACAGTTCCATTACCACTGTGATTAGACAGGGCAGCTGTTGATGAATAGTTCTGAAAAGTAACTGTAAGGTCATTYGTAAATCTTACCCTGGGTTGACACTCTGCTCAGTTTATATAAATAATGTTATAAATAATTCCTGATGTCCAGGACAGGAGTGCATTTCTGCATTAAATGCTTAAAGTTTCATTGAGATCTTTGTTTTTGCCAGTCTGAACAGTCAAGAAAATTGGTCTGCTTCTTAACAACTGTCCAGCATCAAGCTAGAGAAATCACTTGTGAATAAGCTGCTGCTGGCTAAATGCATTTCTAAGGTGGGGTTTAGAGTCCTTTTGCTGCTCCTGTTTTGCTGGTAAAAACATTTGCCAAACTATGGGGATCTCTTTTCCAACGGAGTACTTGAAGGTAATTTGACAAACAAATGAGAACATGCAGGCTTGTTTTAAATTCCAGGAGCAGCATGTAGAATAGTGTTTTTACCAAAAGATGTGGGTAGTGCTGACTGAACACTGTCACTTGTGTTTTAAGTAGYTGGATATTTTGATTATAGCAGGGAGTAGTCATGCAGATAAGGGCAAGGCAGAGGGTAAATAGGAGTCATTGCATTCTCTGATGTCTCATAGCTTTTCCTTTTGCACTCACAAAAGTACAATAACTCACAACCTACCTTTCATTTTTTTCCTGTCTGTGGTACAGAAGGGACAGCTGTAGAAGATGGTGAACCTGTCAAAAAGAAGAAAAAGAAAAAGGATAAGGAAAAAAACGCTGAAGAGGAGGAGATACTGAGTGAGGAGCTCCCCACCAGCCCCACAATTGAGGTAAGGCAGAATTGCACAGCTACCTGATGGTTTTTGGGAACGTGTTCTCTCCAAAAGATAAGAGTGTAGAATGAGGGATGGGGRGAAATTCATATATGTATAATCCATGGCATGCAACTAGTTTGTGATACCCCTCACTGTAATGTCCAAGAAGGTTTGCATTACAAAATAAGATCTGGGAAGTCTGTGACTGCAGTGTCTCCATTCCTTTCCTGTCCTCTGCCCACTCCCAGCTCTTCTCTCTTTGCATCTTTTCTAGTGGGAAGAGCATCCCTTGGTGCCAATCCACAGGCATCTGTCTCAGCTTCAGGGACTTGTAGGGAGCACAGCCTGTACCTGCTGATTTGCTATCTTCTAGCAACAGCAGAGCAGATGGGACCATACACAACTTCTTGCTTAGTTTTGAAATCCTATTCTTAACAAAGGGTTTAATTTTCTCTCCTTTTTGTAAGTCAGCTGCAGGGGCTGAGGGCAGTGCTGAGCTTGTGGCAGTGTGGCAGGGGTGAACAGGCAGTGCATTTAGCAGTTGAGGAAGGACATCTCCTGGGTTGTGCTTTGCTGGGCATGGCAGCTGAGGTGATGCTTTGCTTGTGAGCCTTGTTGCCTAGCTACATGTGTTGCTTTGCTTTTCCATGATGGTTTGCTCATGACAACATTTGTTTGTTTGCAGAATTCAGAGAAGAAGAAGAAGAAAAAAAAGAAAATGAAAGGAGGTGAAGACTGATGAGGAGTGGGGAAGAACACTGGCCCATAGACAGCTGCTTTGGAGTAGCATTTCTCAACATAATTTGTTTAGCCTCTTGTTGAAAACTAACTTCCCTGTGTTGCAAGAGRGCAAGGAGATAAGTGTGATAGCTGTCTTTTCCCTGGAACAGGATATCCTGGTGTCTCTGCTCATTTAAGAGGATTATTGGTTTCTTCTTTTTAAAAGCTCACAATAGATCCTCTTTTCACAAGCAATCTCCACTGATAAGGAATTAAAACATTTTTATGGAGGTTTTATGTGTCTGTCTTTTAACTTGTTTGCTTGTTTTCTATCCAAGAAAGTAAAGTTTTAAAGTTCTATGTGTGTAAATGTTCTGTTGCAGTTTATTCTTTAAACATTTCAAAGGTTGTAATATTCTTAAATTCTCCATAAAATGGGTACAGGTATCTATGCATATTATCAAAGATAYATTGAACTGCTGAGATGTGTTATTGTCTGCACTGTAGTTCTCTTGATAAAGCCTTTTTAAAGCATCTTCCAAATGTTTTGGTTTTGTTGCACTGGCTGACAAGGTTCAGATGTGTGTTTTGAACAAATATGAGGTAGCTTTCAAATTGCTTCATGGGGTTTTTGGCAACTTTCCTTACTTGATTTTAAAAAAATAACAAAAAAAACCTACCAAAAAAACCCCACAATAAAAAACAAGGCAAAATTGATTCTTCAGCTATCTGATAACGAAGCAGAGAAGACAAGTGCTTTATTAGTAGCAGAAATCAGCTATTTGCTAATTCTGCTGTTCTTGTGGGAATACAGATGCACTGAAGTAGCATCATGTGATCAAGACTCTAAAGGTCTTATGGTGGAAAAGGAAACAATTTTTTTAAACTATTTTAAATGAATGCTTAGCATTCAGTTTATTAATTAACATGAAGTTATTTTTTCCTAAGTGTAGTGGTAGAGTATTACCTAAGCAAAAATTCAGCTTCTTCAGCTAAACATTTGGTAACTCTGCAGCCAGTATGGTGGTGTTTTACTCTGGAATAGAGATTACTGAGCACATCTTGGTACTGAACTGCTCCTGGCTTATTGACTTGTTAGTGCAGGTGGATATAACCAAATCCCTGATGAGTTTGGTAACAAGTTATTAATGCACTATTCTGCCACTAGCCAGTATATGAACTGCCTTTTTTTTTCCCTCAGGAAGGTTGTAGTGAGTTTAACTGCTCTAATTGAGATTGCCTGGGAATACTGAGATCATTCTAGTTCATTTGCTTTTTGCTAGACTAGTAAGATGACTTTAAGCTGTAATGTTTAAATGGGCAGCAAAGGTATTAAAAAGTATTCATAATGACATGGAAGACTTGACTATACATGCCTTTAGATTTTTTTTTATTGTAAATGCATTTTCAAACAGCAATCCTTACCAGACATGAAGTTCAATTTCCTCTGAACTATTAATGTAGTTGCTTCTTCAGAAGTATTAGATAAATTATGTATGKGCTGTTCAGAAACTGTCCTATATAATTTACCCTAATCAAAAGGTTTATATGAACATCAGTTGCTTAGTAAGTCTAATCAGTGGGATMAAAATGGAGAGAAGTTATTTTTGTGTGGCCACTTTTTCCTTCCTTTTCCTTATTCCTTTGCTAACAAGGGAATGAGATTTACTTCTTTCCTTACATAGCACACTGGTTTATCATTGCAAGCCAGTGTCCAGTGCAGGCCAGCTTCCCTCTCACRAGGCAGCCCAGTGGAGCTCAGTCATGAAGCAGCATGTCTTTCCCTCTCCTGCCCCTSTACTGGCAATGTTGATTTTAATATTAAATTAATTAGAGCTTCTACTTCATTCTCTTTCAAAATGTGGGTGACCCAGAAATACTGAGTGGAGAAGAGGAAGTAAATTTGAAGTTCTTCAATGTTGGATAGACCATACACTCACCTTCCTTTTAAGGAGGTAAAGATGTAAGTATTATGGGTTCTGGTTTGAAATGGTAAAATCCTCATCTTCAAAATAATAAGCCACATATCCCAAAGGGCTGCTGCTGAAACACTGATAAGTGTATTCAGCTCAAGTGCTAAATATGATCAGTGAAAATAAACAGTGGTGATAGACTGCAGTCACTGTAAGCCAGGTCACTGCATTTTAAGTTGCTTATCAGTTCAAGCAGATAAGATTGGTTTGCTCACACGATTTTCTACAAAACGATGGTCTGGGCATTTGTGTACAGTCTTGCACCTTAAAATAATAATAAAGCCTACAGTTATAGCTGGGAAACACTACAACCTCTTTGCACAAAGAAGTGGTGATTCTGGCATAAGAAGCATGGCCTTTAATTGAGGCCCAGACCTTTAATGTTTTTACAGTAGATTTGAGGCTTGTACAGCCCCTCCTGTAAGGAATAATTGTGCATCAAAGGCATTTATGTAGAGTCTGGACTATAGATTACTAGTTTTTGTAACGGAGGTGATTCATCCAAAAATGGATCTTTTACTTTGTTTATTGATAAAGCAAARCCAAAATCCCAGAAGTAATATTCGAGTAAGGATAGAGGCCTTGAGTATTTYGCATTCAGAAAGAAGTTAACCAGACTGATGATGGCATTTGAAGAAAAACAGACCTGTGGTACAGAAGGAGCTAAAATGATAAGTRTGATCCTTATAGCATTTTACCAATAGGGGTTACTCTAAACCAAATCTAGCAGTGGAAAATGGAAAGTGGAAAATGGAAAATAGGGCTAAGCCTAGAAGAGTGTGAATGAGGGTGTTTCAAAGGGATGGTTGGCAGTTTGAAAGGGATATAACATGGCCTGGCAAAGTTAGTGGTTCGGTAGTTGGATTTTGGTGGGGGCTTTTTTTTTTTTGGTTTGGGTTTTGTTTTGTTTCTGTTCAGGTTTTTTAAGTGGAGTTTTCTGCTTGTTTTTTCCTGCTTTGGAATTGAGCAGCTGTGCATTGTGCTCCCATCCCTGCTCTGCAGAATGAGCATCAGAGTGCAGGGGCTGCTCACTGCTTGTGTTGGGCACCCTCTCACCAGAGACATCATCCAGCTTTTGAGTTGTTACTTAGCACCATGAAAGTCCTTACCAGGAAAATTGAGTGTTTTCCTAAGGCTAATACTGTAATCTTTTGGAAAACAGATGTTTGGGGGGTTTGTTGGCTTGTTTGTTGCTTGGGAATTTGCCTGGTAGCATTGCCAGTGCATGAGCATTTGTTTGTATGGGAATATCGAGGGCATTGCCCAGCCCCTCACCCCRGTGCCTACAGGCCATGGATGTGCTTGCTCCAGCCATCCTGAAATAGTTCTACCCACAGACACGTGTCCCCTGCATGCCTTCCCTGTGTCCATGTCTATGTGCAGCAGCTCTTACTGTTCATCAAATTAGAGGGACCCTTTTTTCCCTGCCAAGGAATAGGTGGGCACCATGTACCACTCCAGACAGGAGCCCTTCTGCTCTAGAGTGGAGATGTTCTCCAGAGCTTTCCTGGGATTTTGAGTGTCTTTGCAGTAAGAGGTGTCTGCTGAGACTGATGTGGACACACAGAGGTAACTGCTCAAAGGTCACAAAACCTGCCTGCTGTGGAGGGACAGAACCACTGCTKTTTTTCAGGTAAAACTTCAGCTCACCCATCCCTCTCAAGCTATTTCTRTGGAAAACCCCACAGGATGATTTCCTGCCGTCTGTGCTGCATCCTGTGTGGTCCTTCAGCAAGGCTTCACTTTTGCTGGAAAAAACAATAATTTTATTATAAACTATAGACAGCTCAGCAGTAGCTTTCTGTCTTTCTCAGGGAGTAGCACAACAGCATGTTGTCTTTTGGACTAGCTTAAAATTTTGAATAGAAATCTTGTCTGAGTTGCCAGGTTTAGATCCTGTGCTTCTCCAGCCCCAGGGAGTGATGTGCAGCCCTTGACATCAGTCAGCCTCACCCCACAGAGCTGGTAATGACCTGAGCTGGAGGCTGCCTCCTCTAGCTAGCATGGAGTGCTGCCAAATGCTCCCTCCACACTTCCACTTGCTTGCACTTCATTAGCCCCTGCTGGAAATCCAGGAGCTTCTGCAGTGACTGCCTGTCCTCCAAGGGTGAGCCCTAACTCTGAGCTTTCATTTTCTTTTCATGTCCTTTGCACTCTGCTGTATTTCTTAAGCAAAAGGTTATTCCTCTTACAACAGTGAGCATCTCTATGTTCAATGACTGAGTTTTCAGTACCATTAATCTACAATAGATTTTCTGATGTTTAATTTCTCATCCTAGTTACTGGCCAATGGAAACAAGCAGTTTTGTCTCTACAGACCTCAAGCAAAATACAGTGATTGGCAGATGGTGTTGTTCTTTTGCAAAATATGTAAGCTACCCTGGACAGGAAAGATRGGGCAGTACTCAAGTGCTAGGATGAAGAAGTTGGAAAACTGGGCTGATATGTTAGTGAGTACTTCAAATGTAAGGGGAGTGAATTRGAAAAACTCTTATTTGGATCACAGCCCGTTGGACTTGCCACCTTTAATCTCTGATCTTCATATTCCACCTCTTAAAAACTGAGATAATGCCTCCCAAATCCCACAAGTGTTCAGGGCTCTCATTATCGCATCATTTATGAAGCACTATAAGAGCCCTAAATAGGATGAGATGTAGAAGTGTTGTGAAGAAGAGGAAGGAAACCTGTTTGACAGCACAATGGCTGTGAGATTGTCTAAGTCCAGTAAGAGAATTTTCTTGTTAAAGTTGCAGTCTCAGGGCAGCCACACTAAATTCCCTCTTCTTGAAAAGGAATTAAAGCTGGCTGTGCCAAAACACTTCCTCTTGCAGGGTGGTRAAAAGGTTGCTTTTGTAGCAATGTAGAGCCACCTTTAAAGATGAGTTTTTAAAAACTAGTGTGGCACAGYTGGGTGGGGGGCAGCCAAAATCTGAGCTCAGTTTTTACTTCTGCCCTCTGCAGAGTCTTTATTTCTGCTCTCTGCTGCAGGATCAGCAAGGCCATGTAAAATGGAAGCTACGGTGGATGGGAGACAGGCTCCTGTTCAGACAACTGTGAATGTAACACCATAACACTGCAGGTAGAGATAAATACCATGAAATTGCCAGTTGCTCAATTCCTGTATTGCAACATGCTGAAGCAATAATGGGTAGGAGAAGAGGCTTCCTCCCCATTGCCAGCCTGCCCATACCCATCTGGGAACAGCAGGATGAGGTAAAAACCGTCCTTCCCCTTAGTACCATTCTCCCTGGTTTTTCTCAGTTCACAGCAAGGGAGAGGAGGTGCCAAGCAGGGTGAGGAATGCCAACAGAGGGCTCCTGTGCCCAGGCCCAGATGTGGCACATGCAGTGCATGGGAGGGAGTTTGAGCCTTTGCACCACAATGTCGAGCACTTTCCTGTGAGACCCCTGTGCAAGAGCCCCTTTGTGCTCCTCAGATAACTGRGGTTTCTCAAGCAGGACTGACATGAGGCCAAGCCCACTCGTGGTCTCCCCAGGAGGCATTTTCAGCTGTGGGGATTGGTGCAGCCAGCTCTTGTTCCTGCCTGACAGCACATCCATGCAGATGGTGATATCCATCCATTAGAACCCCAGGGGCTATAGTGCTGCTAGACTGTAGTGGTTAAATAAAACAAAGGTGTGGAAATTATTTCCAGCATGTTCTGGACGTGTGAGGCCGTCAAAGGTATCACGAGTTAAAACCAGAAATTGAAGTTGCAGGATCTGTACGGTAACATCTTTTAAAAATGTCATCAAAAACAAATCAGAAGAAGGTGGCTTTGTCTAGACTCTTGTTTCCTAATACGAATGCCAGGAGTTATTGCASCCGTACCTTTCTGGAGACTTTCTGGCTGGGGAATGTTCTCTTTCCAGAGGAAATCCTTTTAACTTTCAGCAGTTCAAGACTCTAATTGGATGAAATAATAGCTTGGCACTCCCCCAAGCAATATGATTTTTATCTTTTCTGTTGTCTGCAAAAGCCTGACTTGTCCAATGCCATGAGTCACGGAGGGAATGTGGATGTCAGACTGCCCTTGTATCCAGGGATGGGCTSCTGGTGAGACAGGAATGGGGTCCTGGGTCAGTGATTCCTGGGGATCTGAAACATCCTCTGTAGAGCTGCCCCTCCGTGGCCTCAACAGCACTGAGGATGTGGTGTTGCTGATGTGCAGTTTCCAGGCATCTTCATTCTCACTCTGTTATTCAAAGGGGGTTCTTTCGTTGGCTACTGCTCTGGTTTCTCCAGGTGACTCATCTTACAATAATTATGGATTCATGCTTTGTCTTTGCCAAACACTAACTCTTCATTAGCTTCAACTAGCATGTTTAGATGTTTTCAGCKGAGACTTAGACTTTGATGGTTTATTTAGCCCAGAAATAAGTCTGATAGAATA